GTTCAGGCAAAATTGTATAAACTAGACTTTCTGCAGCAACCCTTCCTTTAAGGAAAAAGATCGTGAATCTAATGGATGAGATGTAGTGAAGTTGGTGGGGAGGTATGTGCTGTATTAGATGTGGTTATTTGAGATGCTCAGTGGAGTCCTTTGCGTCTCCGCCCAGGTCAGACATGCACAGATGGCTGGCGGCATTCCCCAACCCTGAGGATCCAAACAGTGAGCAGGAAGAAGTCATATATGAAGACTGGGGTGAGTTCATGAATAATTGTTTGTGTCTAAAAAGGAGGTGAAGTATGTATACTTTGCTTACATTATATTGTATTGCTGCCCAGTCGTGCTGTTGGAGAACTGTGGCCATGCAAGTTCAGTTTCAGTCCCAGTCTAACAGACCTGATAAGGTTCATCAAGGCCTTCAACACCATCTAAAAATTAGAGCCAGGTGTGTTGGAACTGAACTCTGCAGGCCGGCACAACTCCAGGAACAGGGTTGGGCTCCCACACTATATAGTCATTAGTAGCTAATTAGATTTTGTAGTTAATCAGTGCATAACATCCTGCAAATGATGTTCAGATGTGAGTGCAACTGCAGCTGTTTGCTGACGCAGCGGTTAGAGTGTAGAAGATAAATTGTAAAGTGTGTGCAGTGTCTTTCATGCTCCACCCTTGTGTGTATGTGTTCAGACTGTCCACAAGTGCAGTGTGTCGAGCAGTACGTGGCGAAGCAGACTGACGAGCTAAATCTGGAGCCCCCAGAGATCGTCAATGTCGTACGCAAAACCAACGAGGGTGAGCCATGCGTTAATATAGTTGCAGATGAATTCATGTGCACTCAATATCCTTGTTTAGCCTCCTGCTCTGTCATATCCATTATGTAATAAACACAAGCAATAATTCTATTAAGGCTTACATACAGTCCACACAGATATTTTCAAACAGACACTTATAAATGTTCTGTTCAGATATTATGCAGTCAATTGTATACATCACTTTGATGCTTATCATTTCCTATATTCTGGTTAGAGCTGGGTTATATACTGTGAGCATACCTGCAATTGATTACCTTGAGCAAACCTGACCATGGTATAATCATGACATAACACAGAAGCTGGTGTATACATTGGTATAAAGGAGTTATTAAGACTAATATTTGTATTTTTTCATCATATTTTTGTTTAATTACTTTTGCTATTATGTAATAAATAATGAGTTCTAAAGCCAACATAGACGGCACTGTGCTATTAGCTAAGTAACTGAGTAATTAAGGGCAATGCGATGTAAAACCAAATTTTATGCACATTTTAAATAAAAGTGTTTAATATATTTACATGTATTCAGCCTATAGTAGTTTAGCCCAGGAGTGTTGCTTTTTCAGTGAGGTGCAATGCAAGGCAGCCAATCAGAACAGAGTGAATTTAATAAAATGTATCATTCGTAAAGACCTGAAACATGAAAATCAATTATGACTGTTTTTGGTACAAAACCCGCACAAACATAAGTGGACCTCATCAGGAAAAGAACAAAAAACAAGAAAAAGGGAGGAAATTGTTTCTTCTATTTAGGGATCATTTAATTTTACAGATTATTGTAGTTCATTCCTCCCTTGTCCAGCTCTAACCTCTCCAACTTTTCCCTCCCCTTTTTCCCTCCCATGCTTCTCTTCCTTCACTCCTTCCTTAGGATGGTATGAAGGGATCCGTCTGTCTGATGGTCAGAAGGGTTGGTTTCCTGTGGCGAATGTTCTGGAGATCACAAATGAGCATGTGAGGCGGCGAAATCTGCGGGAGCGCTATCGAGTCATGCGGGCAGCCAGCGCCGTAACCCACAAGATGCGGACCCTTTAATAACCAATAAAGCACAGACACTGCGCTGCAGGACGCTTTGGACTCACAATGAGAACTTTGTGCCTTTACTAAACTGTAAAACTACTACAGATATTTTACAAAAAAAGCTGTTTTGAGCCTTCAAGACTGCATTTAAGGTTCAGGAGAACAGAGATTTTAGTTTTAAACAAAGGACATGGGCAAACCACTGCAGTATGATCCGACCTACTGTACAGAGCCTGTAGAACTCCAAATGTCATTCCTCTCGTTTATTTGTTGGATAAAATGGTTCAGCTTAAATGTTTAACTGGGAAAGGTACTTCTTTCTGCTCTTACATGGCCTCTTTACATGAGTGTGCAAGTGTGTGTGAATGTGTATTTGTATGTCTGTGTATATATATATGCATACGTGCTTGGTTGTGTGTGAGGTTTGTCAAAAAATTGAATTCAGCTGCCAGCACTGAAATTCCTGTTAAGCACAGCTTCTTATTCAGGGCCTATATCTTTAAGCTATAATAAAGCTGGCAATCACGATTATGCTTAACATTCTCTTCAAAGCTGTGTAGTGTCTCTCACATAGTTACCATATTTGCCATATTTTTAGCTCTGCAAGTAAAATGAACAAACAGGAGCTCATTAATGAACAATTCAAATGATTTTGCAGTTCATTTGTTGTCATGATGTGCCATGTTCTTTTTATGGCTCACGTTTTAGTGTAACCTACCTTGGCAGTTGAGCAACCAGAGCCAATTCCAAACAGAACCATTAGCCTGTTAATAACAGTTCAAACACTTAATTGAAAAGGCGATTTCCTTTGAAATCATTTTAGTCTGATATCCCTTACAGCGAATGTTCCAATCTTCTCCCAGAATTTAGTAGACTTTTAGTTCTTGGACATGGTGTTTTTTGACTTTGTTAAATAAAGAGTGAAACTATGTAAAGTCATTTGTGCCTGACACCCTCTTCAGAAAAATGTGTTATTAAAACTACACTTTTAACAGTGTAAAGTTATTTTATTTGTATGCTCAAATGTCTTGTACTGTTTTACGGGGCCACCTTGAATTTGGTGAAGCTGTGATGTGCGTTTTACTCCTGTATTTAAACATGAATAGAAAGGTGAATGCCCATACTCAGTGATTCAAAATATATACTAAGATGAAAGTCAGGCCTGGTTTCTAACAAATGGTATTTGCACCTTGAAAATAACCTTTATTTGAGTTGCAGTGTTGAACAATGATTGCAGTTAGTGAGACTTAAAGCAGTCAAAGAGGATATGAGCATTACAAGTGCTCATGCTGATTACTCTGAAGCACAGACGCCGCAGTGTTTCCTCCTTCTACAGGCAGTAATGTGCCTCTGTGTTTAGACGGAGCTCAGTCAGTCTGATCCTCCTCATTACTAATCTTAAGGAGATTTTAAAAGAACTTACTCCTACAGACTTCTACTAAGCCTAAACCCCTAGCAAATCAACAATTAAAGATTACTAACTGCCAATTTGCTGTGTAGTAGTAATCTGTTATAATCTGTTTTGTCTGTAAATGTTCTAAAAAGTGTTACTTTTGTCTTCATAATGGAAAATGGGTTGAGTAATGACATCACAACTGTTAAATTAGCACACATTTACACAATTTTCCTTTTACTTCAAATGTAATTGCACACCCAAGACACAACCTGGCCCAGTTTAAGGCAAGTGTATGATTATGGAGCTAATTGTATATAAGCTTGGTACAATCTGTTTTGCGATGTTGGAGGATTGTTTCATGGTTCATGGAGTGGGCGTGGCTAAAGGTCCAAGGACTTGTCAATAAAATTCAGTTGCCCAATAGATGCCTAACGTCAGCATCTTCCCCTAAGACCTACCTACTCATAAATATGTGTCAAAACTCAGTAGCAAGTGATGGATTGTATAAGTAAAAGAACATGTTGGCAAATTTGTGAATTGAAAAAAAAGAAAGAATGACTATCATAATGCATGCCAATATGAGTAGTAAAAAGATAAATATCTTTTGAAAAATGAACTTCGATTTAATTATTTTCTTTTGCTTTCGTAATAAATATTTTTACATTTTGACTTTTAGTATCCTGCTTGTGGATTCTTACAATTTTATTAAAAACTTACTAACTCAGATTACTTTATAGTGGCGGTTATAGGAGCCAGGGGTCTATAACGCAAATTTTACTTACTATCCAAAATGACCAACGAACTTATCTTGAGTTTTTATAGTTCATGTTGATGATGGTAAAATAGTGGTAAATATGAAAAAAAAATTATATATATATATATATATATATATATATATATACATATATATATATATATATATATATATATATATATATATATATAATTTTTTTTTAATATATATACATATACACCGATCAGGCATAACATTATGACCACCTCCTTGTTTCTACATTTTATCAGCTCCACTTACTATATAGGTGCACTTTGTAGTTCTACCATTACAGACTGTAGTCCATCTGTTTCTCTGTAGCCCCCTTTTACTCTGTTCTTAAGTGGTCAGGACCCCCATGGACCCTCACAGAGCAGGTACTATTTAGGTGGTGGATCATTTTCAGCACTGCAGTAACACTGACGTGGTGGTGGTGTGTTAGTGTGTGTTGTGCTGGTATGAGTGGATCAGACACAGCAGTGCTGCTGGAGTTTTTAAATACTGTGTCCACTCACTGTCCACTCTATTAGACACTCCTACCTTGTCAGTCCATCTTGTAGATGTAAAGTCAAAGACAATAGCTCATCTGCTGCTGCACAGTTTGTGTTAGTCCTTCATCAGTGGTCACAGGACGCTGCCCACAGGACGCTGTTGGATGGATATTTTTGGTTGGTGGACTATTTTCAGTCCAGCAGTGACACTGAGGTGTTTAAAAACTCCAGCAACACTGCTTGCTGTGTCTGATCCACTCAGACCAGCGCGACACGCATTAACACACCACCACCACATCAGCATATCTCATATATCATATATATATATATATATATATATATATATATATATATATATATATATATATATATATATATATATGCCTTTTTTCGTTTCTTAACGATTTCATTCTGCAGATGTTTTTAGATCGGTGCAACTCCCCTCTAACTCTATTAGAGACTCTTAGTTTGAATTACCGGCTGATGCTTTTATTTTGACATTCATTCGGTGTTCCGGCTTGCTGGCAGGATCAGAGTCACCCCGCCTGTACGTGTTAGCTTGTGTATGTGTACAGGAGCTGCTGATCAGCAAAAACACTTTAAACATGGCCGGCCGGGTGCGTACTCTTTTATCACTTTAGTTCACTTTCAACAGGTGCATTTTACAGAGTTATATTTACAGTACAGCTCGGTCCAGACGGGGCCTTTAGCTGAAGTTGGCCGTTAACAGTCGGACCAATTCATTGCGTATAAGATGCCGGAAGGCGAGCAGTGCAGCGGTCTTGTGACTCTCCGCCTCTACTTTATTGGCGTATATTACTTTAGTACTGGGTTTGACAGCACTGGAACAGCCAGCGCTATTTTATGAGACTTATTTAGACACTGAAATGAAAGCTGCCACAGTAGTTCTCTCTCGAGTCAGCTTCAGTGACTCCCTGTAAACTCTTCCTGTAGTGAAGCTGCACACTGTCATCCTGCAGCTCCGCAGTCAGACAGCAGCGCTGTTGTTAGGGAGCTGGACTCATGATCAGAAATGTTAAACAGGGCACAGTGTGAAGCTTTCGTGAAAACATGTCAGTATTTGGTGTTTTATATGCCACAAACAGCCCCAATTCCTTTTTACGTGATCTTTTTCCATTTTTGTTTGAGATGTAAACAAAGTCATTAAGAGTGTTTTGATGCGAAACGGTTCACTGTAGAGAAAACTGTTACCATGAATTGATTTAAAAAATGTTTTAAGCCAAAAGCTTATTGCAAAACCATCGTGAAACAATGTCTCAGACAATGTATTCACAACATTTACATGTAGTAACCTAGCTTTTAGGGCAGGGATGTGCAGTCTTATCCACAAAGGGCCGGTGAAGCTGCAGGTTTTCATTCCAGAAAAGCAGGAGATCACCTGCCCAGCAGTTTGAAGACTGAAACCAACTGATCAAACCAGGGGAATCAGGTGTGCTACAGCTTGTTTTGAGGGAAAACCTGCAGCAACACTGGCCCTTTGTGAATAAGATTTGAAACCCCTGTTTTAGAGGCATTAAACTCTTCAGACGTTTGGTTCCTGTCACCACCACTGTGAAATATTCTGACTAGGTACATTTCTCTAGAACGGAGCATTTCACATCATATCGAACTGAATGACTTTGTTGACGTCTTAATGATTTAATTATGCAGAATTAAAACAAAAGAATAGTGTAATTTCTCTTTAAGGGTGCATATATGTAAATTTCCTACATTTTGATTGAATGCCCTGTATTTTACTTCATTTAAAAAACAGTTCTGGCTGAAACCCTCCTAATAACAGAATTGCTGAACAGCGATAGGTGAATTTATATGTACATGTGTTGATTCTTGTGGCATCACAAAAATTAAATTGTTTATGCACCTTTCATTTCCATATATGGACCACATGGACTGAAGAGTAAATGGCACAGTTTTTAAAAATTGTTAAAATACTACATCAAACTATTTTATTCCCATTATTTTATAAGTGACTAACCTTAAAATTTCCATCATATCAGCCCTTTAACAGGAAATAAATGTCTGATCTGAGGACCTTCCTCAGTGCTGAGCGCTGAATTGACTAAATAACTGCTTATTGGGTCAGTTCACAGCAGAGGATGTCTTCTATCTGGCGTATGAGATCACTTGGACTGATAGTAATGTTGTCGTCACAGGACTTCATGCTATTCATAAAGATTATCGATGTTTTACTTCGCTCTCTCCTGGCTGCTACTGAGTTATAGCCTAGTCTACTCAGTGAAAGAGCATCCATCACGTTTCAGATCAGAGTTTCTGCAGGTTGCCTCACCAGTAACAGTACAGCCGGTATGCCCACAGTAAAACCTTCGCATCTGTGTGCTGAACAGGTCCGTGTCTTGCTCATTATAATGTCATTTAGCTCTCATAGTAGTTATATCAAGTGGACAAGGACAAAGGCAGTTGGGATGAGGGTGGCTTACGTGTTTGACGTGGCAAAATTATATGCTGTGGCAGTTTATTAGGGACACAGTGATCTTGGAATCATATCTGTATCTGTATATAACTAGCTAAAAAAATCAGTCTCAGACAGATGTTTAGATTTGACTGATTTTAGATTTGACTGATATTTCAAACCAATATTTGATGATGTATTTATTATATTATGGAAAAACAGAATGTTTAGGCAACGCTGGATTGTTGTGCTAAAATGTCTGCATTTTATTTGTTGTACTGCTTTTGTAAGCCTACGTAAATAGATGTTATGCTAATCCAGTTCCCATTTCTACATTTCTATATATATATATATATATATATATATATATATATATATATATATATATATATATATATTATGTATTGGCAATGACAGATACAGTACTGTGTTAGAGACTTTTTAAACCGAACTGTGACATACTTCTTCATTTAGGGACGAAACAGTAAAAGAAAATAACCTAGGGTTAGAAAGGTTTTTGTTTCAACTGGAATGAGTTCCTCATGATGTCCGGAAGAGTGAAAGTGAGTGGAGAAAGCCTGATTGGTTAAATGCAATATGAGTGACGGAAGAAGATTTGAGTAAGATCATTTGAGCTGTCACTTAAAAACGGTGTTTACTTGAAACATTCTTCCTCTTCCTCAAAATGCAGTGGATTTTGAACTCTAAGTCAGGTACCTCCTGCAGAGTCTACAGCCCTGATCTAATACTCCAGTTTTTGCACTGAAATAGTCAGATTAAAAAAATTATTATAAATCTTCACCCTCATCTAACTTGCCTTATAATGTCCCCTGTTGACTTTAATGTTCTCAAAGTGAAAGTCACCTTTCCCATTCCTTTTCACCACAGACATGTGTTCAGTAAGGAGCGAGTAACGGTTCCTCTGAAACACCGTTCTACATTTACCACAGAACAACAGTAGAAATAAGACAATACAGTAAATACAGACAGTGCGCCATACAAAGCACTACACAATAAACTGTACAGCTGTGAGGACAGGACAAAATAGACTAAACCATTGGTTCCCAACCTGGTCCTCAGGGCCCCCACAGACAGTTCACCTGTTCGCTCCAACTAAAAACGCAACACATAGGCATGGGGGAAAACTGTGGATTATCTGGGGGGCCCTGAGGACCAGGTTTTGAACCACTGGGCTAAACAGTAGACCATGGATAGATAGGATGAGGGGTAAGATAAAATAGGCTGCTTGTACTTTGCCTTATTAAAAAAAACAGACTGGGTTGAAATATTTCTTGTAATTAAATGGCTAAACTGTTGTAGGCTGAATATGTGGATATATGTTATATCTGCAATGAGTAATTATGTATATATATGCATTATTATCAATGCATACTGATGACAGTAAGCATAATAAAAGTCCTTAGAAGCAGGTGTACTGTTTGTGCAGAATGAAATATCTGGTGTATATACAGTTAACTGTAATATAGGTTATTGTCTCTCATGTGCAGTGACCAGATGCATTAGGCAGAGTGCAGAGGTGTGATGATCCACCAGCACTTTGTAACATAAAAAATAACAAAAAGTATTGAAAAACATTCTTCCTCAAAAGGTTCATGTCACTTTAATAGTGTTCAGAGTTCAGGTAGTTAAGAGTCATAAAAAGTCCAGTTGTCTTCTTAATTGTCCCTGTTTTTTTAGCAGTTCTCAGTGTTATTAGCTGATTTATTGTGCTCTACTACTTGTATATTTTTATAAGCATCATCCAAAAGTTGCCAAGTTAACCATTCTTGCTCCCTACATCCCCTGGAAACAAGCTTGCAATATATCAGACATTTTTTCTTCAAATTTGTGGTTATAAACATGCTAGCACTATGTGTACAGTTGAAGAAATACAGAAATGATGCTTATAACTGAAAACTACACGCAAACATGTAACATTTGAAAAAGAATTGGCACAAATTAAAACTGTAGTAGATCTAGGCGTATAAATAGATATTAAAATGTATCTTTATGTATTTGTATTTTAAATAAATGGAGATGTGATGCCATAAACAAAAGACATCCATATCTTTGAACACTAAAAATAGTCTTAACAGTCCTGTAGCATACAGTCCTAATATGGACTGTCATCAGTTTGATGGTCTGAACTGTAGAAAAATGCAAGACCATGACTTGCTTTAAAAACTGTTCCATTTAAAACTGCTGCCAGAGCAGGTGGACAACTGAATAAAGAAACTGCGTTCCTTTATTCTGCTCTTCCTTGTGCATCTGTGATGCACAGACTTTTCCCCCTGCAGCTTGTGTGCTGTCTGCATTTCCATTATTATATTTAAGTCTGAAGGTGATGATTAGTAGCAATTAAACAGTTCCTCCTACTTGTATTTTGTTATTACAGTAGCTGCTGCAGGCCTGGGATATAATTGTATAATTGTATATTTATAATTGTATATTTCCTGCTCCTCTGTCTTCTGTTTGTATATTTCCTGCTGCTCTGTCTTCTGTGCTGCTGTAACACCGCAAATTTCCCCGTTGTGGGATTAATAAAGGATTATCTAATCTAATCTAATCTAATTGAGTAGATGGTGAACTTACTTTATGGGCAAGCTGCGCTTGCTAAGTATTTCGCTTTCTGCACTGAAGTGTTGTATGAGCACGATGCAGGCTTGTTGGATGTCTAGTGGAAGCAGCCTAAAGGTCAAACAAGAACAAGCTGAAAATTGCCGTGTCGGTACCTTTGAGGACCAGCACACTCTGACATCACTTACACAGCATTATCTACTGCATTGCTGTAATGAGCCGTTAGAGAGATGTTTCCATTTCCAGAGCTGATATAGAGTAGAAATGACATTTGAACATCACAGACATTTAGCCTCCATGCCACACTGTGCTCAGCAAGACCATTAATAGAGCTCTCGCTGTGTCTGCCTGACTGACGGTGGCTATTGTAGCGTAAAACAGAACGCCTCCCGATTGTAAAGAACATTTTCTCTAAACTGTTCTGCCCTTCTGATGTGGATCTGACTCTTAACTACTTTAGATATAAAGTTACATCATATAAACATGATTGCCTGTTTTCTCATTTAAAACTGTCTTTTGCTGATTGAGTGGCTTTGTGTCTTCGATTGTCCAGTAATTGTCCAGTAAAGGACACCCAACGAATATTAAAGGTGTTTGTGAGGTGTTTAATTTTCATTGTTTCTTTGTTTGTTTTGTTTGTTTTTTCAAATTTTCTTCTCTAAAGATCATGCAAGCGGCGCGATGCCCGACGGATGAACTGTCACTGACTAACTGTGTTGTAGCACATGAGAAGGACCTAAAGTCTGGGCAGTGAGTATTTTATGTGTTAAGATAAGCTATTTGTAGTTATTTGTCATGTTTACTATTTTCACCACACATGATATGTTGCATGCTAACATGCTAACATGCCAGTTGTTTTTCTCTAATGCCCGGTTCTCATCTGTTTGCTTCTGTTTTGTTATCTGTTTCTTTAAGGAAAATTCCATGAATTTTTCAAACTTTCTGCATAATTAAATAGTTACTATAAGTCATTTAGAGTAGTTTGATGCGAAATGCTCAATTTAAGAAAAACTTATTCAGGGTCAGAATTGTTCTCAGTGGTGGTGTTAGAAACTGGACGTCCAAAGTCTTTAATGTCTCTAAAATGACATCACAAAATTTGAAATGCTTACAAATTCATTGACTGATGCCTGTGACATAGTTTTACGATTGTTCTGTGATCAGGTTAAAATGTATGTTTTTTAAATCCTTTTAGAATAATCTGATAAACAAAACGTTCTAAGGCAGAACAGTACCCATTTACCATTATTTTTACCATTATCGACATATAAAACCCAGAAGACGTGTGGGTTCACTGGTCATTTTGGATAGTAAATAAAATAGCTACATTTTGTGACCTCTGGTTCCGATCACTTCCACTAAGTTTATAATAACTTAGGCTATGATATATTTGTTTTTTTAATCTGTTTTTGTTCATTATTATTATTATTATTATTGTGATTATTATTAATTATTATTATTTCTACTCAACCAGTTTTATGTCTTATTTTCCAGGCATGTAAGCATCAAGACCTCACCCACCCATAAATATGTGTTCACTGTAAAGACGCACCCGAGCGTGGTCCCTGGAACCATCGCCTTCAGTTTGCCCCAGGTACCATAACAATCGCTGTTTTTTTCAGGAGTCACCACATTCCTAGTCTGATTAGATCCGTGAACTTAGAAACAAATATTACTGCTGTGTTCCTGTCTACAATTTCTCGTCTTTAATTTGTTTCTGTCCATTATTAGATTATTGCCTTTTATCAGCCTGTGTGATAAGATTAATACAGTGAAGCTGGTTGACTGGATTTAATCTTTAAGCTTTTTTAACTCTTGGCTATTCAGTCTTATTCTGTGACATATCTGTCCTGTGTGCTCTTAGAGTGCAAAATTAGAGAGCATAGAGATCATTTCCCTTCTTTTAGGTAGTATGTTTTTCCTTTTCTGTCAATGCGGCATGCTTCTTTTATCTTATTATCTGTCACTTGCCTGTCTTCGCCTGCCTCTCCTTCGTCTGTAAACATGACAGCAGCCAGGCCTTTCAGGTACTGCAGTAACTTTCTCACACTGGTTCGGTTTTACAGCAAGATGTTATACTTTCATTTCAGTAGTGTGATGCACATAGTGCCAAGATCTGAAAACTGCAAATGAACTTGTTTTGTATTGATGCTATTGGATATTAACTCTTTTAAACATGTTGCTGTACAATAAGGCCAATAACTAAGAGAAAGTTACAACTGTGTGTTTGTGGAAACTTTTAGGTAAAGAAGACTTTTTCAACCTTTTTATACGTCACATATTAACGATTTAGCCCTCACATAGCCTTGTTAAAGGAGAGTTCCACTGATTTTTCAAAATTGCTGCAGTCACTAAGATGTGAAAGGAAGTAATGCAGAGTGGTTTGATGTGAAATGGGACTGTAGAGAAATTTATCATTTTGATCCATGATTCTTTACAGTAGTGGATAAGAACCAGGGGTCACAATGTCTTCAATGCAAATATGCCTTTATAATTGTATTTGCTATCCAAAGCAATCAGTGAACCAATAGGTTTTTTCTGATTTTTTTGTATGTAATGCTGTTAAAGGTAAAATATTGGGAAATCCAAATAAGCTTTCATTGGGGAACATTTTTCTTGAGCATTCTGAATGGAGATTTTCTATACCTGACCACATGTATGTGTAGTAACTTTCAGTGAGGGAGCTTTTACAGGCACTAAACATTTTGGACATCTGGGTCCACCAGTTCTGGCTGAAAAAAATTCTCTAGAATGCCACATTTCATGTAAAACACACTAAATAATTTTGTTTACCTCTTAACGACTGAATTATGCAGAATATTTGACAAATTGGTGGAATTCCCCTCTAAGTGTAAAGTAACTCTCTTTCATTTTCTTTCCCAGAGGAAATGGGCTGGTCTGTCCCTAAATCAAGAAGTAGAAGGTAACACTCTTCAAAATCACAAATGGCTCTTTGTCAGCATTATTTCTAAAAGTGGTACTTCAGTTCATGAATAACTTGTGTGTGTTATGGTTTCTAACTGTTTCAGATTTTAATGTTTTCTCTACTGATTGTTAAAAAGTCAAAGTTAAAAACCCAGACTGGGAGGTTTGTGACATTCTCGGTCCTGTGACGTTGATTTGGATTTGGTTAGACGATGCTGAAGCAGGGTTGGGGGTGATGAGTGGAAAATGAGGTTCCACATTGAAAATCTCTCACAGGATTGGACCTGGTCGATGTTTCAAGTTCAAGAGGCTTTACTGTCATTTCAGCTATATACGAGTACACATTGAAACAAAACAACATTCCTCCAGGACCATGGCGCAACACAAGAACACAAGTGCAAAACAATGCAATATACACTGTGCAGACGGTGCAGTGCAATAAGTAGGAAAGCTTACAATAACTACAAAACAGAACACAAATATATTGAAAAGTAATCCGGTAATGATGTTTGATACGTCATAATCACCATGTTGTGAAAAAGAACTGGCAGAACTAGAGAGGACTAATTTACATTTAAATATTACAATTACAATTAAATAGCTTGCTAAATATTACTTAATAATATGTACACATAATGTTTTTTTTTCCACTTTTACTGTCAAAACCTTGGGTTGTTATGGAGTAGAGTGAATTCTCTACTGTCTCTGATTAGGGTTTCCCAGAGTGTGATTTATTCATATAGGATTTTCTGAGAATGCATATGTTTGTAGTAACAACTAATAAAATGGTGACAGGTGAAGTGGTTTTCAAAAGATGGTTTACGCAGTTTTGTTTGATATGTGATTTTTATTATAAATTTTCATTAAAACAGTTAATGTTTTAAAAAATATGTAAACTAAAAATAGAACAGAAAGTAGGTCTAAGCTACAGCGGACTATGTGTATTGGTTGGGGAGGGAGGTGGGCAATATGATAGGTATTGCGAAAATATAGTGCTAATTATTTTAAATATCGCCCAGGCCTACACAGGACAGAGAGTGGACGAATAGAGTAATCAGTGAAATTCATCACATTACACATAACAAATGAAGTATCTTCTATAAAGTGTGTAATGAGTAATAGGGTGTTTCTGGCTTTTCAGCTCCATGTTTATTTTCCCTCTCTTGCAGTGAGCATTTACAATTTTGACCCATCAAAGCAGTATGTGGGAACAATGACTCTAGAGGTTGATTTCCTGCAGAAGAAGAATGCGGATAGCAACCCTTATGACACTGACAAGATGGCCATTGAGTTCATTCAGCATTTCAATGCACAGGCCTTTTGCCAGGGCCAGCAGGTATAGCAGAACAGTAAAAAGCAGTGACAGTAAGGCCTGATTATATGTATGAAATGCAGTGTATACGTGACTCACAACACCTGTTTCTTGACTCCATTTTTTTTCTTGCAGTTTGTATTTAGCTACTGTGACAAGCTCTTTTTATTACTAATCAAAGAAATTGAAGCAATGGACCCCAGCATTCTGAGGGGGGAGCAGGGCTCCAGCAAGAAAAGCAAGGTATCGGTCAATCAGTCAACTCCTCACAGCTGCGTGATCTAGATTTCAGTTATTAGAACACACTATTAGCAGATGAAAAACATCAGTAGTGTTTTCTGCATATTTAAAAGTAATTTGTTTGCCTTGATTTTAAACTAGAAATCAAACAGAATTAAAGCTAGTCTTTGGGCAGCTGTCTTTGTTGTGTTGATGGTTCTGATAATAAGAAAAGGATGTTGTTGAGAGCTATCAAATATAAAGCTATATTAAAAAAGTAATTTGATATTAAATGTTTTATTCTTTATCATCAGTTTTACCGTTACTATAGAGCATATAAATCAACTCTGCATTGCTTTCTGGCTCTTATCTAGTGAAAAGTGGAAGAGATTGGTTGTCCAATGTCTAATCTTAGTGTGAGATCTGTTGTTATTCTCTTGTCTTTTTCCTTCCTCTCTGCAGATTGACATTGGGTTGTTGCATGGCAACAGTCAGGTGATTTTTGAGAAAGCAGAAAACTCTTCAATCAGCCTGGTCGGTTAGTGTTTTTCCTGCAAACACACTGCAGAACATACACACAAACAGTGCAGTTTTGCTATTTTCAGATTTTCCAGAACCTCCCTTCTCTTCATAACTGAGTCATTTACATGTTTAAATGGTGCTCTTTCCCTGTGAATGACATAAGCAAGTAAATATGCCCTGCTGTCTTGGGCTTGTTTTTTCAAAAGCAAAAATTTGTTACAGTCCCTTTTGGAAAAACTATGTATTTAAGCCTGCTGTTTATTGGTGTGTGTGTTTACATAACCCTGCCACAAGATGGCAGTCCTTGTATGTAGTTTTGTCTTGCCTTTCCCTCACTGTGCACATTTAGTTTACAATAGCATAGTGTCTGCTTATGATGATATATTTTCAATGCTGGGGTTCACCAGTGGCTTTTTTCCTAATTTCCCCCAGGTAAGGCTAAGACTAGAGGTGCTCGACAGTCCATCATTAACCCTGACTGGAATTTTGAGCGCATGGGGATTGGAGGCCTGGACAAAGAGTTCTCGGACATCTTCCGTCGGGCTTTCGCCTCGCGAGTCTTCCCTCCAGATATAGTGGAGCAGATGGGTGAGTTTCAGTGACGTACACAATGTAACCTCACAATGATTCTGTTTGATGACATTTATGATCTTTGCATCATGTAATCTCATCATGAGATGAGGAATTTCATCATGAAAACAATACACTGAAGATTTTTGTTTTGTTTTGTTTATTTTTTTACATTTAACATTACACTAAATATTCCACTATTTTTTTTCCAAAATATGCATGGTTTATTGGATATTTTGATGGATTCTATGTGCTTGGTTTAATTGATATTATACTAATCAAACCTAATCAATAGAAAGGACAGAGTGAACTGATGGGCCTTTAGTTCAAGATAATGGCTCTTTAGTTCAAAATAATGACAACAAGAAACATTGCTAACTTTACCATTCATTATCAAAACGTAGAAGTGATAGAAAGCTTTTGTCTAATTGGATCAAATATTAGAATCAGCTGTCAAGACATTTTGACACAAATTGGCAATCATCAAAACAAGAATGAAGGAGCTTGAAAAGATCTTCAAATGTAGTGATATATCAGAATTGTCCAGCCAGTGGTCTTTTTTCTGGTTCTTTATGGATGTTAAAGCTGGACAGAAAAATTTGAACTTTGGTGTTGGTGAAGACTTTAAAGATACTTTAATGGCAAAAAAGAAGATCAAATGGGTCCTTTACCAAATCAAGCCTCATCTCTCACAAAAGCCCAGATTAAAAAATGGATTTTAGTTTCATTGGAAAGACACCTATGCTTGGAGCAGTAGAGAAAGAGCAAGACCAGCAACAAGATAGATGGATACAATCAGAGGAATCATGAAGTCATTAAGAATCGTGAAGACCACAAACAGAAGATAGGATATTCTAGTGAAACACTTCACATGGATGCCAGGAATTGGAACTGACTTGACTGTAGTCAGTAATAATAATAACTATGTCACAATTATTTGATGAAAATCAATTTTAAAAAATTATCATTTGGGTTCTTTTGGCACTCAAGTCACTTTTGTGTGCATCGGTGAGAAAGAAACCCACCCCAGCAAATGCAGCTGTGTGTAAATAAAATAGAAGTGTATATCTGTTACAAACTTACATATGTTTCAGATGTTAGTATTTAGGTAAAGCTGACCTAATTATTATTAAATCCTGTTTGAAAATAAAAGAATGCTATTGCTAGATTGGTGCTAATATTACTAGAGGAAATTAGCATTATTGTTGTGGATGATTATTAGCGTTGTCACTCCGGCTACTTATAAAATGAAGCCTAATTATATAAATATATGTTACATATATATGCATGGCAGGGACAAGTTAATGAAGTGATTTTGTCTAAATTCCTCAGTGTGGCATTAAAAAATGACTTAAAAAGCATTACAGTTAACTTGCTGATAGCTGCAGATATTTATTCACTAAGGCTATTTGTATTGTTTGACCTTAAAAAATTATGAATTGCATGAATTGATCATCAACATAGTAAATCACGCTATGACCAATATAACTTGGCAACCCTACTTCTAACATTTAGATTCATGCACCTCAGTGTGTCTCAGTCTCTCTCTCTATCTCTCTCTCTCTCTCTCTCTCTCTCTCTCTCTCTCTCTCTCTCTCTCTGTGTGTCTCATACACACGTCCTTGCAATCAGTGTCTCATTCTGTACGTGCCTCTTTTTTCTCTTTTTCTCACTCTCTTTGGCTGTCTCACATAAACGCACACATTCTCACAGGCTCTCTCTCGCTCTCCACAACTGCATATCTCTCTCTCTCTCTCTGTGACTCTCTGGGAACACACTATATATCTCTCACTTTCTCTCATTTCATGGCCCGTGCTATGTATTTAACTCCGACCGCATCCTCCCGGTGTATGTGCTCAGAGAGACAGAGTTAATACATGTTGTGGCCAGTATGAATCATGCTCCTCTATGGCCAGTGGATAGCAGATCAGGAGTGGCCAAAGTAAACAGCACAGTCTGAAACACTAAGCATCTCTGCAGTTCTCTTCTTAACCATTAATGAGCACAGGATGGAAGATAGCAGTCACCTTTGTTGAAGGCTTTAACATTAAAAGGCTATTTTTTTTCAGTATACTCACCCTGAATCTTAATGAGACTTTTATCATTTTATTTAGGTGCAAATTTGCTGTCATAGCCATTTTCACTCTCGATTCATTATCTCGACACACCTGAAAACCTTTATTTGTACCTAGTAGGGCCATTACAGTATATACTAGTGATACATATTGCAGCGGATATTCTGCATTCTATTGTTGTCACCAGTGGTGGACAGTCACTAAGTACATGTACTTCATTACTGTACTTAAGTACTTTATTCCAAGCATCTGTACTTTCTCAAAGCATTTTTATTTTTTTGAGACTTTTACTTTCACTCCTCTACAATTCACAGTAAAATAACCTACTTTTTACTCCCCTAGTGTCTGCAAGATACGGTGAAGTAAAAACTGAATTTTCCATAATATCCAAAAAAAATGATGCACTATATTAAATAAATCAAATCAATCATAAGGCACCTTTTCCTGAGTCCCACCCCTAAATACTGAATGTCCTATCATAGCTTAGCAACTCTAGCTAGTCCCAGGCACTTCTGATAAGCTATCAGAATTAAAGAAGATTCGACACATTGTGTGGGGTATATTTACATTAGATTCCGGTGATCCCAGGAGTTTGGAGGGGAAGTAGAAATTTTTCCATTTTCAAATTTGAAGGCATAAGATGGTAAATGTTGGATGGTTAGAATATCTCACAGTACTTTTACTTTTGGTACTTAGGTACATTTATTGCATTTTATTTTTTCCTCTGAGGTCCACTTATGATTTTTGCATGGTACCAAAAACAGCCATAAATAATTTTTACGGTACCATTTTCCAACCTCTCTTTATCCCGTAGTATTAAACAGGATAAACAGGTTGTTCTGTTACCGTGACTTTAAAACTAATATGTTGTTGCTGTCAAAAAAACAACTTTACAGGAAAAGATAAAACATTGTTAAGTTTTAATGTATCTTAATGCAAAAAGATTTTAGATTTTAGTATTTCTGTTGGTCGTTCATCACGTTTTGAAAGTTCAGTGTTTATGTGCTCCTTTGGACTCTTTAAAAAAAATTATATAGGACCTTTAATAGTAAGTACTTTAACTCAAGTAAATAATATAGATAGGGCAGTTATATTTTGACTTGAGTACTATTTTACCAAGGGTGTCTCTACTTTCACTTAAGTACTGCACTTTGTCCTGCACTGGTTGTCACGTCAGCTCTTTATCCTGAAGCTTTTACTATTTAGTACATATGATGTCAGCAGGGCTACCTTGATGATAGTTTGTTTGTCTACACGTGTATTCTGACGTACACATTCCGAGAAATTCTCATCTCCTGTGTCTCACATCTCCTCTTACAAATCACAAAGCCTAAAGGGCATCATGCTACCACACACCGAGTGATGTGCTGTGTGTGTGTGCGTGTGTATGTGATGACCTTTGTGAGCGGTGATGGCTGTGGGAGTTGGCCCCTGGCTCTGGCAGCTGCCTGCTCTAATGAGATGGCGGGCCCTGATAGCATGAAGGTGAGCTCCTAATTGGGGTGTGTTAGGGAACCCAGGTGCTGAGAGAGGGAGTGTGTGTGTGTGTGTGGTTTTCAGAACGCATCTGGGTGGGAGCACTGAGGACCTGCACCAGAATGCTCAGCTTCAGCTAAAACTCCCATCACCCTAAAGGTCAGTCAGTGAGGTAGGCAGGCAGTGGCGTCCAGCCGAACCTGCAGCGCTGCCCTTCGTAAAGCACTGTCTGTCAGCAGGTGTAAATGGCCATGCTGATTCTCATCTCTGGCCTGGTGCTTATCTGCAGCCCGTCTGCTCTCTGCAAATGGCAGCCAGCAGCTGCCGCTGGCCAGAAACGGGCCACTGTCTGTGAGTCAGCCTGGCCTCACTCACTCTTGTCCTACCCCCTGCCTCACTCTTGTGAAAACATTTGTATGAAAAGTCAGCCCGCTGATTTGGTCTGTCAAGGTAAATGGGCCCCAGTCTTATCTGACATTTCTTTAATGGTGTATTTTCCACTCTGATTTTAGTCAGTACAGGTGTCTGCTTTCCTGACTGTCTTGAGTTGGCGTTCTCTCTCTTTCTATCCAGGCTGTAAACACGTTAAAGGAATCCTGCTGTTTGGGCCTCCTGGCTGTGGAAAGACGCTGATGGCCCGTCAGATTGGGAAGATGCTGAATGCCAGAGAGCCCAAAGTGGTCAATGGCCCTGAGATCCTCAACAAGTATGTGGGAGAGTCAGAGGCCAACATCAGGAAACTGTTCGCTGATGCAGAAGAAGAGCAGAAAAGGGTGAGAGTGTGCTCAGAATGCACATACAGTTGTGTGCAGAAATATGAATACCCTTGGTCAAATTACATGTTTTGTTAAATCTTAAATATGATCTAAAATATAATGCTAAATATATCCCTCTACAATTTCTGTTTATTTCCTGACTTTAACGTATTGGAAAAAGAATAAAACGTTCAATATAAGATGTTCCATGACATGTTTACAGGCTGTATTATATGTATTATTTTTTCCAACATGTTAGATTCACCAAATAAACAGTATTTCTACATTAAAAAGTGCAATAGTGTGTTCTCAGTAGAGGATACATATTTATTTTCTCTAAGAAAATCAACAAAATGTAGTTTGACAAGGGCATATGACTGTACAGTCCTATGAATGTTAAATACAGTGTAGAGGAATGCACACCAATCAGTAATAATAAGTGCAATTTATATGGTGGCTTTCACAATCTCAAGAACATTTTGCATCAAGGCAGAGAGAAGAAAAAGATTAGCGTAAAGTAAATACGAAGGTCTTAAGTTGAGATTATGTTGAGAAAGAGTAATGCAGTCATGGAGAGGTTGTGGTAAAGAATGCTGTAGCACTGAAAGGTCTGCCACCCAGTAAGGTAAGTCTATCAAAGAGTATCGAAGAGTTTAAGAGTACAAGGAGCTACAGGGAGGGAATAAGTCAGTAAGATATGCAAGATCATTTGAGAGAGCTTTGTGGCCTTTGTAATATTCTAAGGAGGCCTTGAACGTTAATAACGTTTTATTAAAGTAAAGGTGCCAGAGAATGCATTTATTTAGTCAGTTGTTCTCTGATGTCTACATAGAAGATATGGGACTTTGGTCCAGTTGAAAAATGACCTGGTGTGGTTTTACACACCCATTTCCAACCCTATGATTTGGCCCTAGGATGAAACAAGCTGTTTTCCCTTTGTTGGTGGGCTCATGAATAATTTGATGAGCTCTGTTGGTTTACAGCAAGGCACCATGGCTCACGCAGAAGCAACATGTTGAAATAGAGACAAGCAGGAAAATAAAATGAATTTCTGTGTAAATAAACTAGGTTGTCATATTATTTAGTTGCTTGGAGCTTGCTAGTAGCTAATGTTACCTATACTAGCGATGTGCTTTTGATCTCAACAACAACACAAAGTAAATTAAAGTTGTTAGTTCACTATGAAGCTTTCAATTTATGATGATCTAGCTTCAACTGTTAAAAATGAGATATAGTCACATAGCTTGGCTAGCTACTTTCGGGTTGCGGTTGGGGTTGTGATTGTTTTCATAAAGTTTGAACTGCCCCTGTCTTGAGTGTCAAATGCTGAGCAAAGCCTGCTCGATATTGTCCAAGGTTTGAGAAACTATCTGAAGAGAAATGTGCAGAGCAAACTAATAGCTTTAAATTAAAGTTCTCTTTTTAAAGATGTGGGAGCTGTAGTTGGCTTCCTATTTGCCAGCTTGTTTGGCGAATTTTCTGGTCCTCCTTAAATGTTGCTGCGGTTACTTTCTGGTGCCTGTGCAAGTTGTAGCATTTAAGGTGGAACGGGAACATCAGATTGAGAAGCTGGCGAATAGGAAGCCAACTTCAGTATCATTTAAAGATGAACATTAACCATCCTTGTTGACAGTTCTGTTCCTAGGGAAGGATATGAGAAGTACCAACATCCCCTTCACAGCCTCGAATGGTACATTTGTGCACATAGTCTACCATTTTCATTGTGTTGCTCTGTTGTCGTTGTGTCGTTGTTTTGTTCTTCACAATACTTAATGGGTTACAATGTGGGCTGGTGTATGTAAATTTTTGGGGCATAAATATTATGTTAATATTAAGTCAAGACTGTTGTTTAACAGTTTAGGAATTTGGAATTGACACTCTTTTGCAAACACAGGATTTGCGTTTGACAGAGGAGGCAACAGTGTTTGAGGTTCACGTTGTGTTAGTTCCATGTGCCAAACTCTTCTTATTCAACTATGCCAACGTAAATAGAGGGTTTAATTCTATGGCACCTTTAAAAAATGTGTATATATGGTTTTTCGTCCCACAGTACATTTTCCTCACAATTTTGAAATAAGTGTTTGATGTAGTACGCAAACATTTTAAAGTTTTGAAACATAGCATTCATTCCTTGGTCTATACAGTCCATATATTAAAATGAAGTTGCAAAAATAGCCCTTTTTGAAATGATTGTTTTTGTGATTTTACAGAAACCAACACATTTTCATATATGCTTCTATTCAGCTTACAGCAGTTTAGTTTGACCCATTCGTGATGAACTTATATGGAGTTTTTCAGACTGGACTGCTTTTTTAATGAAGCACAACACAGGACGTCCATTCAGAACATAGGTCACATATATCAACCTTAATAGCACAGTAACAGAAAGAGGCTGTTCAATTCTAAGATATAAACAGAGGTGGGAACAGAGGTTGTGTAGAAATTAACTGTGTTTTTGGTTCATAAAACCACACATGTTAAAAGTGCACCGGGGAAAAGTACAGGAAAATGTAAAATATGAGCCATTTAAGCTTTTCTCATTGCTTTTAAGCCTTCTTCTAAAACAGACTTGAAGCAATTGAGTGTTGCTGTGGCTGTGGGTAGTTAGCATAGCCGGCTGGGTCTCAGCAGAAAGGGCAGTGGTGCAGACTGTGTGTGTGACAGTGACGGCCTCACTCCTCACCTCCTAATGAGAGTGTGTGCTATCACTGGGCTCTCACCCTGAGTCGCGGGAGGCCACGCCGAGCCCCTGACCTCCCCACACTCATAACAAGCCTGTATCTGTGTGAAATGTTAAGGCTCAGCTCTGCAACAGTCACAGATTGAGCAGATAAAGCTTAATTGTGGGCTAATGTTGCCATGATAACTTGGCATTGGCATGACCATGGACAGTCCATATAGGATTAGTGGTGGTACCTGGCATTGGGCTGTGGCACAGAGGGTTTGATGTCAGTTTTTTTGCAGAAGTAGCTGTGAATATGCAGTATTTCTCAGTACAGATTTGTACAAATGTATTAGTGAGTAGGAGAATAATGCAATCTTGTTTTTAGTCAGTTTTAGTTGATAATGTGCCTGTGTTTTTTTTCTTCTGAAGTTGGGAGTCAATAGTGGACTGCACATCATCATTTTTGATGAGATTGATGCCATCTGTAAGCAGCGAGGGAGCATGGCGGGCAGCACTGGCGTTCATGACACAGTGGTCAACCAGCTGCTGTCCAAGATTGATGGTGTGGAGCAACTCAACAATATCCTGGTTATAGGTGAGCACTTCATCTTAGCTTAGACCACAGGTTCCCAAGCATGCTCCTGGAGTACCCCCTGCTCTGCACAATGCTGTATGTTTTTGTACTATAACACACCCACACTAACTCAGGAAGGGCTTGTTAATTCACTGATTAGTTGGACCGAGTGTGCTGGGGGCAGGAAAAGCACTACAATGTGGATGAGGGCCTACATTTTGGCATTTTGTAGAGTGTCAGATAGAACTTAGATAGAGCTCTAATCATGCTTTGGTGATTGTTCATTTCATTTTTACCTATCAATCTCTTTTTCAGGTATGACTAATAGACCTGACCTCATAGATGAAGCTCTCTTGAGGCCTGGAAGACTGGAGGTCAAGATGGAGATTGGTAGGATTTGTCTCTGATTTCAGAGTGGCTGCATCTGTTCAGCACACTGTGGACAAAGTTTCATCTCATTGGTGGAAAGGAAATCATCATTACACATACTTGGTCTCTCCTTCAGGTCTACCGGACGAGTCGGGCCGTGTTCAGATCCTAAACATCCACACGGCCAGGATGAAGCAGTCAAACATGCTGGCCACAGATGTAGATATTAAGGAACTGGCTGTGGAGACCAAGAACTTCAGTGGAGCAGAGTTAGAGGGGCTAGTGCGAGCAGCTCAGTCCACCGCCATGAACCGTCACATAAAGGTCATAGCCTGCTCCTCAACTTACTGCTCAGCCTGGATTACTTCTCCTTTTCTCTTTCAGTCTCATTTTGGTTTAGGCAATGGTCAGAAGAAAGGCATATCCTATCATGTATAACCATGAAGGACTGTTAAGGACAGATATATTTATAATACAATTATAGGATGCCTTTTTCCCCCCACATTTTACATAGTCTGTAGAGCAGCTGTCACCAGCCCTGCTCCTGGAAATCTACTCTCCTGCAAAGTTTAGCTCCAACCCTTACCATTGTGACTGATTCCTGTATTTATGATGGAAGTAAAACCTACAGAAAGGTAGATCTCTAGGAAGTGTGTTGTTTCCCCAAGCTGTAGATTAATCCACACAACGTGTGAGGTACTGTAGTCTAAGGTTGACATATCGCTGTTGTCAGAAGAAAACCTTGTAACTCCAAAATGGAAACCTTACAGGAGAAGGAAAAAACCTACTTTACTTTTAATGTACATCAATGGAATCAGACTTTTTTCCGAGTCATTTTGGGCCAAATCTCTTTGGTCCATTCTTCATGAAATTTACACATAATGTAAAGGGTAACAATTTTCAAATTATGACAAAAACTGAAAAATGACAAAAATGGAGATACAAGGTTTTCTTCCCACAGCAGTGATATACTGAATATGAATAACCAGTTAATGCGTTTTAGTGCAGTTTGTTCAAGCCATTAGTCTAATTTACTTGATTTGGATTTAAGCCATGCTTATGTACCAAACAGTAGATTTTGATGTGTTTTGCCTGGGGCAGAGGTTGCTGTATTATATTTGCATACAGAGAAGCTAAGATTGCACCTTTTCAAAGCAGTGGTGTATTTATCACCATCTATCATGCAGGCCAACACAACAATATAGCTATGTAAGGTGTGCCGTTTTCCTGCTTTAGACAAAAAATGACAAACTTAAGCAATTTAATTGTTTTCCTGAAGAGGAGACAAGTGAATCTTTCAGAAAATATTTGTTGATCTCATAAAAGCACCAAATACACAAACATGTTGGTGAAGGAGACTAAATCCACCTCTTGTTCCCTACATTCCATGAGTTGATATTGCACAGCTTTCATGTATTAACAGGCTCTGTCTCTTTGCATTAATTCTTTTTGTCTTATTTGAAGACCACATCTGAAACCACATGGAATGATTTCAGATGCCACCCAGTGTGCTGTTTTAATGGGTTTTGAAATTAATGGTAACAACCTTGGATTTGTTACAAATTGTGCACCCTGCCCTATATTTCTTATTATAGATGCTTTAGTTAGCTTATTAACATGCAAGTGGGTATTTTTTTACAAAATCTGTTTAACAGCTGTTTTTTGTCCAGCTACACATTTTTTGCTGCACCATACCATTCAACGTTCCCTATATATTTGTATGCAAAAGTGGGTGCCCAGGTCAAATTAAACGTTTTGTTGATTTTCTAAGTGAAAATAAGTTAATACATCCTCTACAGAGAACCCACTTCTGCACATTTTCCTGCACAATTACAGTTTATTTGCTGAATATAACAGACTAGGTAAAAAAATAAAATGTAAGATGTGGCCTGTGCAAAAGTTATTGCACATTTTATATTTTATGTTTTATTTTTGTCTGATATGTTAATCCCAGAAAATAAATTAAAATGTTCAGAAAAATACCATATTTAATTTACTTTCCTGTAGAAAATGTGTTAGCTTATTTTTATTTAGATTAATCAGTAAAACAAATTTGGCATGGGGTGTTTAAACTTCTGCATATGACTGTAAATATCTAAAAAAAGATCTCTAGATGCAGTTGAATCCAAATGAGCGCAGACAGATCATGTTAAATTCTGTGCTGCACAAGCTATACCGCCAGTGGTTGTTTAAAGCTGGAGGGAGCGTCTTGTTTGTCAGAAACACAAGTACAGCTAATTGTAGCTTCGACATTAGGGGCTCTTCTTACTTTCTTCCTTGCGGGGTCCTATGCTATACCTGCAGTTCCCTATGCCTGTTCATAGGTGACAAGAGACAGATGTTTCCAGGCTGTATTCTCTTACCTCCCTTTTAACTATAGGATGCGACACATTCCACTGCTGAAATGTACACCTTCAGTCTCACTTGCTCAGTCACTTTATCTTAGTCAGGTTTTCTGTCCCCCCTTTCATTAGCCACTGTTTCTCTTTCTCCCTTGTTGGAATGTTTAATTCTTTATACCTTAAAGACTCTGAATTAAATTCCTTGTGCCACTTTAGTGAGATTGAGTAGGACTTTAGTTTTCATTTATTCAGGTGTTATGAATATCTCTGGCACAGTGTGTCACACGCACAGCTATAGCTAAGGTGTATGTGTGTGTGTGTTTGAGTGAGTGAGAGAGAAAGAGAGAAAAGGAGGGATAGAAGTGACTTGGCCCATTCACTCGTGTACGATATTTGATGGTGTTGAAACATATTGACAAGAGCTTATACAGGTGGGGAGGCACTAACTCTCTCCCTCACTGACCTTTCTTTATCATGTTAGGGATGAGTAATGTGTTTCTGTGTGTGTGTGTGTGTGTGTGTGTGTGTGTGCGTGCGCGCGCAGGCCAGTACTCAGGTGGAGGTGGACACTGAAGAGGCCCAAAAGCTGCAGGTCACCCGAAGTGATTTCTGGGCATCGCTGAATAATGACATCAAACCCGTGAGTTTACTCTCCAGTGCTACATCCCGTCACTCGCTTCATTATTTCCCATCCAAATGTTTTCTCTTGAGAACTCTTTCCATTGTCATATCTCATTACTACCTGGTATTGTTTAAAAATAGGTAATTAATTTAATTGTTTTTTTTCTTATATTAACGATTTAACACTAAAAGTCTTTGACTGACAGTCCTCACTGTCACTCTTCCGGTGCACAGGCCTTCGGGACCAATCAGGAAGACTACTCCAGTTACATCCTGAATGGCATAGTGAAGTGGAGTAATGCTGTGTCAGATATACTGGGAGATGGAGAATTGCTGGTGCAGCAGACCAAAAACAGTGAACGCACACCGCTAGTGACAGTGCTACTGGAGGGTAAGTCTCCCTCACAGACAAAACACTCCATTACCACATCCAGAATCTCCATTACCACATCCAGAATCTGCATTACCACATTCAGTACTAGTAGGTTGTAGACGGTGCTACTAGGTTGTGGATGTCATACACTCACACAAACACATGCATACTCATATGTACAGTATTGTACAAAAGTCAGAGACAACCCTTCATTTATTTAATTTCCAGTCAAAATGGTCATTAAGTACAAGTTATTCATTTTTCCCATTAAGTACAAGTTATTAATTTTTCATTAGATATTTCTGAGGAGATATACATTAATCCACTTGCATAATGGCAAGAAAAATAAGTGGGGGGAGAAAACAGGAGTTTCCAAAAACTAGTCATTAAAAGTAATTAATTAAAATTATGGACTCCTAAAAACTGTGTGAGACCTGGTAGACCACCAAAACTGTCAGCAGCAGATAAACAGCACTGAAAGCTTTCATCTTTGAGAGAGCGGAGAAAATCAAGCTCCACTCTTGCTTCAGATCTGAAAATCCATGTGTTTCTGTCCATCCTTTCACTGTGAGAAGACAACTCAATGCTATGAGTCTGAGAGGATGTGTAGCTGTCAAGAAGCCCTTGCTGAGAAAAGAAAATAGTCAAAAAGAAGACAAATTACAGGCCTTAGCATCATTGAATGTGTTTGAGATAACACGGGTTGTAAGAAGGAGGAAATGCAACCAACTTCTAAGGCTGAACTTTGGAGGTGTGGAAGTTTATCCCTGCAGATTTCTTCAAAAAACTGAAAGCAAGTCTCCTGGAAAAGAATGAAAGCTGTTACAAAGGCAAAGAGTGGACACACTAACTACTGAAAAAATTGTTATATTTATTTGTAATATATTTATTTGTCCTGTGTGATTTTCTGTGAAAAATATGTTATCCATTTTTTCCCTTATGCTGAAAAATTAATACCTTGTATTTTTTGACTGGAAATTGAATAACAGTACTGTCTAACAGTGATAGCACAGTACTGTATAAATGCATGAATGCAACAAAATTGCTGCTCCTGCAGGTCCACCTCACAGTGGTAAAACAGCATTGGCAGCGAAAATCGCAGAGGACTCACAGTTCCCCTTCATCAAAATCTGCTCTCCAGACAAGATGATCGGCTTCTCCGAGATCGCCAAGTGCCAAGCCATCAAGAAGGTGACAAAACTCCTTTAACAGATTCAGGTTATCAGGATATAGTGACTGATTTCTGGTCCATCAGAGTGCCTCACAGCTATGCTATTTTTTCTGTAGATATTCGATGATGCCTACAAGTCCCAGCTGAGCTGTGTGGTGGTGGATGATATTGAGCGGCTTCTGGGTGAGTTCTGCACACAGCAGGAACCATAAATTCAGTCAGATTGAACATATTTCATGCAAGAGCATTGCTTTCATTGTGTTCAGTACATTAAATCTGATTTATTTTTGGCATTATCATACATGTTCTGGTGCACTACATGGGCTGCTAGAAATGTTGTAGTAGTTCCTGGATCAGAAGTGCCCACGTGAATATATCTCGCCACAGACATCTGCTTATTGTCCCTGTCATAGAAAAAATCTTGTATCTCCAAAACAGTAACTTCACAGGAAAAGGAAAAAACGTTAATATCTGTTAATGTATTAAGATTTTATTCCAGGACCATCCTGATCCTTTGAATGTGCACACAATATAAAGTTAGGTGTTTATCTTGTATCCTCTACTGTGTGCGTGTAATCTCATTCTTTGTCTCTCCACTCCTTAGACTTTGTGCCCATCGGACCCCGCTTCTCTAACTCCGTTTTGCAATCCTTGTTGGTTCTGCTGAAGAAGACACCTCCTCGCGTGAGTCCATACACAACTACTGCTGCAGGGCTGGCCCTAACAGATAGGGGGCAGCAAACCCTCTCCTCAGGACCATTCTGTTCTTTGCTTTTGTGGTGCGGCCTTGAGCATGGCAGCACAGAAATATGTATTTGTGTTTTGTGCTGTTGTGCTTCACTTCATGAGAAAAAGTCAGAGTCTGAAGGGTCAATGTTGAGTCCAGTCCACTCTGAATGAGTGGTCACATTTATTTTTGGCTGGGGTGGCGATTTGAGGTTTCGTGGCATGTTGGTCACTGATGGTGGTTGGGCTTTGTGTCAAAATCTTGTTTTGTTAACTTCTCAAACCCTAAGGGCCTGTGTGTTAGACCACATTTCAGTTTCTACATAAATTACATATTAGCTTAATAGCAGTTATTGAATATTAGGTCTCAATACTGATGTCTTAGTAACAGGAGTAGCATTCATAGCTTCAAGTGGTTTGAAATGGTTTCTGAATGTGTTGAGCGACATCCCAGTTACAGTTGTATATTTCTCAACACATTATTAGCATAAGCAATGTTCCTGTGATTCTTAGTGGAGCAATTTCGGAGCGGCTCAGGAGGTTGTGTTGTTCTGTTGTGGTAGAGCCGTTAGTGTTGTAGTTTCCTCCACACAGGCAGTGATGTGTGTTGTTGGTATTTTGTTTGTGGTGTGGTGTTTTTGTGCTGCGGGGCTGAATGGCAGCGGGTCTGTTCCTCTGGACCGGGCCTGTGTGTGAGCTCAGCGGGGAGTCCACCATCAGGAGAGGCAGGAGTGAAAGGCCTTGTGAGAGAGTGGGGACCCTGGCAGGTCTGCCGCCTGTGTGGCACCTCATCTACATGCACTGGCACAAACCCTTGCGCCACAGGAGGGCGACCCATAATCCCCTCTGCTCGCCAGGGCCTCTGGGAATGGCCCACCTCCTCGCCCTTGCCGCATCTACAGCTGTCCAGGAGCATGTCTTATGGGAATGTTCTGGAAAGTTCTGGAACATGAGTGTCATGACTTACTGTTCACAAGGGTATCAGAGTCGCATTTCATGCCCTCCCTGAGGGCTCATGAATTTACCTGAATAATACAGATGACAGAATAAACTGAAGAGTGTAGGTTAAGCTTGTGCTTTGTCTTCTTATATATGTGTTATGAAATATATATAAATATATATATATGGGATGTATGTCTTTGATATCTTAAGAGACTTGATAGCAACTCTTTAGCAAACTATTCAGAATCATGAAGTGTGAAACTTCGCTGTGGCTTGATTATTGTGGTTTGATTAGATTTACTGATTTTTTAAAATACCTTGAAGTGTGATCGGAGGAACCATTTACACAGTAGTGGAATCCAGAAAGTAAAAACAGTGCACCAAGTGGTGGTGCAGTGGGTAGCGCTGTCACCTCACAGCAAGAAGGGCCTGGGTTCGATTCCCCAGCCGGGCGACCAGGGTCTTTTCTGTGTGTAGTTTGCATGTTCTCCTCGTGTCTGTATGGGTTTCCTCTGCGTGCTCCGGTGCATAGGCTCCAGCACCCACTGTGGCCCAGGAGGATAAGTGGCGTAGGTGATGTGTGTGTGTTTGTGTAACATTACATAAATGCAGTCAGATCGCCACCTTTATTTTTACAGCGCAGAGAGTGATCCAGGCTCTAATGTAAGCCTAAATCACTCAAGGGTACACTGTTAAAAAAGATGGTTCTTTATTGGTTCTTTAGTAAAGAAAATGATTCTATATAGAACCATTGATACTCAAAGAACCTTTTGCATGATGAAAGTGTTCTTGGCATCATGAAAGGGTTCTTTAGATCATTCAAGTTCTTTGAGTATTCACGGTTCTATATAGAACCATTTTCGTCACTAAAGAACCCACGAAGATCTATCTTTTTTAAAACTGTAGTGTTAATAAGGCTACATGACACCTAAGACATAGGCTTAAATAAACATGTATAAACACATATTCAAATAGGCGTGGTCTGTCATAAAAGTTGCATTTGCCAACTTTGATGTTAAGTTGGCATAGCATCTATGTCAAACATTTAGGTTTTGTCTGGACACTTTCTGCTCATTTTCTCTGCAGGGTCGTAAGCTGCTGATTTTAGGCACCACCAGCCGTAAGGACGTGCTGCAGGAGATGGGCATGTTGGACTCCTTTAGCACAACCATTCACATCCCTAACATCGCCAGAGGAGAGCATCTGATGGAGGCCCTGGAGGTCAGTGAGACTAGTGAGAGAGAATTTGGTTAAAAGGACAGAGGTCAATTAGACCTTAAGGTTCACCAGTTTTTCAGAATTTCACATATGTGTACTTGTCCTGACATACCTCCGTGTGAGGATTAAGAACATAGTATGTTCTGAGATGTTTATATAATGGTAGTATTCTAAGTGGACTTGCATCTTTTCCAGGTCAAGGGTCCCGCAAATCCTTAAAACGTCTTAGAATAGAAAAAGGCTTAAAATATGTTTGAAAATTTATGAAAATTATAAAATGTCTGAAAATGTCTTATTTTTAAGGCATTAAAAATTCACTCCTGCCATGTTTTTCTCTTGTGAGTTGTGACCGGTTGAAAATGAAACTATCGCAGAAACATTCAGCTCTAACGGTCTTACCACACTGAGATTATAGTAGATAATTCACTTCCTCAAAAGGCACATCCTTTACCAAGTTGTGACTGAGTTCTCTTCTAGTACACTTTCAGCATGCTCACAATCATCAGATTCATCCGCTTGTTGGGGCTCGAAGCACAACCAACATTACAAAATGATCTTCCACACATTGTGCACAATTACACATTTCCACCAGAGGTGTCTCCAAATCCCCACATTTTACATAGTGTAGCTTTCATTTAATTCAGAACAGTCCACCAACCAGAATTACCCAGTAGCGGCGTTATGATCAAAAATTGACCACTGATGAAGGACTAAAGGATAAGCCTGGTAAGTCAAACATACTGAGGAGACAAGAATCATGCAGTCTCAAAGGATATATCCATGCTTTTTCAGCTAATCTGTTTATATAAAATAGACATGAATACATGCCATATTTAAGTTTGTGTGCACTGTTGTGTGATTCAAATGGTATTATTAATATCATTGCTTTGTTGAGGTCTTAAAAAGATATTAAAAAGCGTTACATTTGATTTCAAATTGTGTAGCAGCCCTGCAGTTGGCAACTATTGCCATGATGCTTACTCTGTCGTCCCATTCCCCTTTTCCACTGTATGCATATTAATGGGAATATGTTTTTAGTGCTCTCTCTGGTGAAGTAAAGGTTTAGTAAGTTGTATGTCTCATGAGAAAATAAACCATGAGTTTATCAGCTGGGAAAATAAAAAAAAAAAATCACTTTTGTATAATGTCTATGGCCCAAAAATAAGGCATGTAAACTCAAGTTAAGTGTTAAAACAGCCCAGACAGTCTGTGCATGAATTTTATTGAACTGTGTGTATGTGCGTTTTCATATGTGTCTGTTTTTGCATGAAAGCTGCTGGGAGGTTTCCAGGAAGATGAACGCACAAAAATTGCAAAGGAGGTCAAAGGCAAAGGAGTGTGGCTCGGCATCAAGAAGCTTCAGATGCTCATCGAAATGTCCCTGCAGGTGAGAGAGAGGGAGAGACTTATTCCTTCTGTGTCTAGACGAGTCCCTGAGTCACAGCTCTCGCCGTTAATCATGTGTGGTTTGAGTCACTTATCAGTTTTAATTATTTCGCGCCATGTGCCAAGTGATAATGAAAACAAGGCAGTCCAGATGTGCTCTCTGTGGAGTAAAGCTTTCAACACATTCACGTAAACAAGGTCTTCCATTCCTAAAACAATGTGCAGCTCGCACATTTGACTGCTGGTGTTTATGGCAGATAGCTGGTCATTCTTTTTTGCATTCTATATGACAAGTTGTCACTATACCGTCTATATTTACAGAGTAGACAATTTTTGGTCTTTTGAAAAACTCTTTTTAGCAACAACAGGTTGTGATGATTAGCACTGATTAGGGTATTTCATTTCGGTGTACAACAGTGTTACAATGCCTTTTTTACATAACGTTAAACCTGTGCAAATCTAGTTGCATTGTAGTCTTCTTTTTTATTACATGTCAGGATAGAGGCATTTCAGTCCTTCTAACCCAACCCAACTCACTCATGAAGCCTCATCCGGCTGAATCGGCTCTTCTGGGATTTGATGAACTTTTAAAGAACCATTAAATTTAACAATTTAAGTAAACTTTGGTTAGTGTTCCATCTTATCGCAGTTATAGTAACTTTATGGTTTAGTCCTGTGGTTGGAGTCCTGTCTGAATGCTGTAGTGGGAATTGTAGTCTTGTTTGTGGTGCAGATGAGTGGCAGTTGTAGTGTTGTTTATGAGTTGTAGTCCTGTTTGTGCTGGATGCTCAGTGGTAATTGCTGTGGTATGTCCCCTCCCCTTACCCTCCCAGAGAGGTATGAGGCTAAGTCTGCCAGGACATGCTGCACGTAGCCACGTTGCTTCAACGTGACAGCCCTCCTAGATTTTGTCTCTTTTCACCTCTTTTCCTCCCATTCCCTCTTTTTTTCTTCAACAGTTTTTGCTTCTCCTGAATTCTAACTCTAACAGCCACAGGCAATGTGAAAGATAAGTTATGGCGTACACAGGCAATAATTTTCCTAGCTAATTCCTCCCTGTGCAGAATTCACCTCTCCTGCCATGATCACATGAGCTCTTAATGCTCCTCAATCACCTGCTCATGACATTCATGAGTCTGTAGGCAATCTGTATGGTGATACTTAGTCCCAAAGTGTGAATCCAGATGTATTTTAAAGCAATAGTTTGGGTGATAGCTTGGTGAAAAGTGATTTACATGTTTTTCCCTTAACCCAAAATTTTGTTGATCTGCAGTATCATGTCTGGTGTCCAGAATTTGCTTCTTTAGTTTTGCACTGGAGCAACAACGCTAATCTAGCTAACAAGCAGTGGGAGCTTATTCCTCACCAGTTAGCATTTCTGAAAACAGCAAGCTTAAATGATCACATACTTGCATCGAATTGTGCTGAGTTTCAGTAATCACAAATAGACTTGCTCATGTGCTCTCTGAGACTGTGTGACATGCTGTTATCCATTAAAATTTGTTAAAGGTTACTTGCATAGTTAAAAACCTGTAATAGCAGCCATCTTGAAGCCTAAACTGTGTCTATACCTTTGTCTATGACTTGGTAGCTGCAGTGCTCCATTACTGAAAAAACTCATTTCAGACATCGAGTATGTCTTTGCTGATCAACTAATTTTGGGGTGTGGAGTAAATTGCATAAATTTGATTTTTAGCTGAGCTCTCTTTAAGCACTGAGCTTATATGTTTGTCATACATTGCAACGCCTCTGAGCACTTTGGAGCGGTTTTAAAACCATGATCTCTAACATATAACAACGTTGTCTGTAAGTTTAGAAGTTGTGTGTGTGGACTAGGTAAGCTGCAAATTGCCCTTTTGGGATCAATAACACTGCCTGAATCTGAATATGAATCTGAATGATAATATCCGACCACTGTCTCTCGACAATTGGGGTACTTGAGTTAGGGGGCAGTTGTGTCTGTCAGCCTGCCCACCCTGCAGCACCTTTCTGCAGGCTGTGAGTGAAGGCTGCTCCCTCTTTTGGCACTCCTTAGGTAAGCAGCAGCTTCAGCCTAGATTTATCACCCGTCCTGACACTTCCCGTTCTCAGCACTCCCCAGCCATTTAGTTACTCTGTCTCTCACACTCACACACACTCCTCTAGACCCTCTAGGCTTTTACCAAGTGAACTTGATTGTTTTACTTTTTTTACACTCTTTAGAACTTTCCAGAAAAGGGTCATTCAAAGAATGTAGGCTGATGTTGCCAAACTTTTATTCTTTCTTTGTTACCCTGTTTCTTTTCTGTAGCATTCACTCACATGTGGTTCCTGTCTCTTTGTGGTGTGTGTATGTGTGTGTTTTAGATGCCCCCTGAATACAGAGTTGGGAAGTTTTTGGCACTGCTGACAGAAGAGGGCGCGTAAGTCCTGCTGCAGTTGATCACTTTTCCGCTGGCCTAAAACACAGCTATGTCTTTTCTGTCCTCCATTTGACCTCTGTTATGGTGTGCTTTAGTTTACCTGTTGCCCATGTTCATCTCCAGGTTGGGTTCTGATAAGCATGTGGCTATATAGGCCCATATCACTGGAGTGTGACCACACTCATTGGCTTTTATGGTAAGAATATTTTTTAGTTTTACCTCTTTCTTTGTCCAAGAACCAAAAATGGTCAACATTACAGTATGTCATCCTAATGTCTGATGAAAATGCTTTTCTCAAAGCTTAGTACTGTCTCTAATACATTACATACAGGCTCTAATAATACAAATATTAATTTAGTGCTGCACCCCTTTTTAAAAAAACTCAACCTTTGTTTTTGGCTATATTGAGCCTTTATGAAACAATTAAAAGGGAATTCCACAGATTTTTCAAAAGCATAAATCAGTCCTTGGAAAAAAAAGATTTTTTTGAAGAAAAATTATATCTGCAGTGCAAAGATATTCTTTTTGTTTGTTAAACAAAGTAAAGCCACATTTGTCTTCTGTGTTTTTATACATGATACACAAAACACAAATAGTGGTAAATTCATAAAAAACGGTCTTCTTTAAGGACTGTATCTTTACACTCTGCATGTAACTCTGTACCCTGTATGTACAGTCATATGCAAAAGACCCCTGGTCAGATTACATGTTTTGTTGATTTCCTAAGTGAAAGTAAGTTAATGCATCAAATACAGGGAACAGACTTCTGAACGTTTTCGTGCACAGTCTCTATATATTTGCTGAATTTAACGTATTGGGGAGAACATTTTTTCCAATATGTTAAATTCTGAAAATAAATAGAAATTATGCACTAAAATTTACAGGAAAATTCAATTTGCTCCCTGTAGAGAGTGTATTAACTTTACACTTAAAAAAAATCAACAAAACGTTTAACCAGGTGTCTCCAAACATTTGCCTAAGACTATTTTTCTCCTAGCTAGGATAGGTGAGGTTTTGATTGCTTGACTAAGTAAACTTCTTTGTTTCTTTGTTTATTTCTTGTTTAAATAACGCTGACAATTTGAAAAAATGGTGGAATTCAGCTTTAACAGAGTCCAAGTGCATGCATTTTCTTGGCACAGATGAGACTGATCCACTCTTCCTCAACCTTGCTCCCCCATCCCTCATTCTTTTCAGCCGTGTTGTACGCTGCCTGCTGCCGTGGTGACGACCCTACCTTTCCGTCCCATTCAACACTAGCTGTACTGGTTAACAACTCAATTGAACACTGCACAAGGGGGATGGCTTTGTATATACACAGTATATATTGTTTTGGTGTTAAAGGCTGCCAGCCCTCCATGGAAACTGGATGTGTGTGTGCATAAAGGTATGCTGATGTACATTACATGCATGTATATGAAGGCCTGTTGTGTATATGCTTTTGCATTAAACATTCCTGAAAATAATGCCTTAATCTTAATGACTCTTGCTCTGTCCTTACTTTGAATGTGTGAGTACTTTCATGATTTTTGTAGACTGTAATCATGGATTTTTTTATTCTGACTTTCAATGCTGTCATTTTTTCTGACCAAACTGTATTTCAGAGACTTCCATCTCATTGTTACAGTTTGTATTCTTTGGTATCCTGAATTTGCACATTGATATAATTTTTTTTTATTCATACAAAAGTAAAGCACTTGTGCATGTTCATTAAAGGGAAATGTCTTTCTTCCTATAGTGACCTTGTGGAGACCATATGTAGCAGAGGTAGAAAGATCTTAGCTGATCACTCCTGCACCCTCCCTCATGTCAGAGGCCTTCATTATCAGCAGTGAATAACAGTAAACAATAATGATGCCTGTTAGCAGGAATTGCAGCAGCTAGCGGACCGAGGTTTGGTACAACAACGCTAGAGGTTATTAAAATATAAATGTTCATCATGGTTAGCAGGTAAAGTTGGAGGTAGATCTGAGGGCCTACCAAGGAGGAGTTCAAGCCTTATGTACACAAGAAAAAACATTGACCTTGACAGCCCTTCTATCAGTTTAGTCCATTTCTTTGTCATTCTTTCTTTCTCTCCTTTTTTGTACCAAGTGACTTCACCTTGAATTAAGTGAACTAGCTCTCACATGGAGTCAAAATGTGTTGCTTTTTATTTGAAGACATTCTGATCTCTCTCTCTCTCTCTCTCTCTCTCTCTCTATATATATATATATATGCTCCATATATGTACATTTACAAAGTAAGAACTGTGCAGTTAGTTTGAAAGCACATGTGTGATGTTTGAAGTATTTAATGTTCTCATTGGAGTTGTGTGATTCTGATCTAAATTATGTGTTGCAGATTGAGTCTTGTATCATCTTAAGTGTATGTGAAAGTTTTATTGAACTTTGTTAGAACTTCAGGTAAATGCACTGATAAATGCATTAAATAAATGATTTGAATCCAACAGATACATATGCTCATAAAAAATAAAGGTTCCTAAATAGTTCTTGGCTTTGATGTATGGTTCTATAGAATATTTAGGCTACGTTATGCTGGAGGTTCTTTTGTGGTGAAAAAAAGTTTCTTTAAACTGTATCATGTTTCAATGCAGTCATTCAAAAGAAGTGTAGTAATATCAAATAATAACTGATCTCTAAACTATTCCAGTCACCCTTCGTTTATTTTTGAATGATCCTAATGCAGCCAAAAATTCAAAACAAAGATTTCTTTCTCTAATTTATCTTGACTGATGTGCATCTGTTAGTTCTTCATTTTAACTTTAAATATTAGGCCTCAGAATTCAGAACTTAGCTGGAATATTGAGGAGGGAAATACAGCAGACATGTTTTAGCCCACTGTAGTTTCATGCCCACCCTGCTTTAGTTATCTTTCTCTTCACTCACTTGGTGTGTGTTAGCTTCTGTGAAATTTCTGCTTCCACAGACTGTGAGAGACTCTTGGGTGGAAAAAAAAAAACTTGGTTAGTGGAGTTACACTGTAAATCATCAAGATATCTCTGTGCAGAAGCATGAGAGTAAAAAATAACAGTACTGAACAGTCAATCAAAAGAAAAGCAATTAAATACAAATAGTAAATGCTAATATAAGTAATCAAGCAAATTGACAACAATTAACCCACATTGCTATATTGGAGAATTAAAACCATTTGTCCTTAAAGTCCTCCTTTATAATGTCTTTGCTCAAATTGATGCATGACGGCTGTTTGCTAGCTAATAAACTACAACAACCGTCCCACAACCGCCATCTTTTTTGTTTAGTTCTGACGTCAACATCATGTGCGGAAGCCCATTTCCGCCACTGGAAAGCTGTTAGTTATGATAATAATGAGAAAGTTCTCCATAGTAATGACATAGCATCTCATAATAATGAATTTGTGTAATAATGAGAAAATTTTCTCGTAGTTATGAGATACTAAGTCAAAATTATGAGATAGTCAGAATTGTGGAAAATGTTCTATATGTTTTTTTGCCAGTGGCGGAAACACTTCCATACACATTAACGGGTGACCGAGTTTTCTCCGCGGAGAGACTTGCACTTGAATGCATATCTTTTACGGTGGGGCTGTCGCTTGAGACATCCTTATCACCTTCTGAAAGTGCCCCGTTTTGTCCCTACTTCAACAAGTGGTGGGAGTAAAATAGGACATTTCAGAAAATCTATTTTTTGTTTTGAGAAATGTCAGAAAACCCATACAGAGAGAAAGCGTTTTCCAGTACATTAAAATTATGACTTGATGATGGCCAGATAGGTACCCTTAATGCTAAGATGCTGCTTAAAGTATTTCTTATTTCTTGAGTTTATGTGGTTGAAATAGCGTTTATCCAGCGCAGCAGTAGCAAATGTAGTCCGGCGCGTGCAGCATCACGCTCACTTCAAATTCAAATTTTAACGGAAAATCAGCGGATCAGCTTTTTCCCAGTCCAGTGGGCATTTAGATCGATACAGGTAAAGAAAATTATTCAGTTTTTGTTCTCAAAATAAATATCATCAGACATTATTATTATTATTATTATTGTTGTTGTTGTTGTTGTTGTTGTTGTTGCTTTTGTTAATTCAGTTTAAAAGGGCTCTTCTTTGTTACAAGTTTGACATCGTAACAAGAGCAGAACCCTTTTTGGTGTCACTTAAAACCATTTTCAAAAAATAAAACACATACAACACATTCTCCATCACTTTGACGAGCCATAATCAGCATGAAATGGTTCTATACAACCCATGGTTCTAAATGGAGCCATTGCCTTTACTTGAAGAACTCATTAGCAGCCATCTTTTTAAGCGTGTATCGTTGTTCCATAAAGTAACATGTTAACGCGGATGTATATGTGCTATTTTCCTTCAAGTGTTTCAAACAATTGTGTGATACCGAACTAATCTCAGGAAACCAGTGGTAAATTGACAGATAATCTATCTTCACTTGCTAAACGCTAATTTAGCTAACGCTTCTGTCGGTTGCTGAAGGGTAAGTTCACCAAGATGTTGCGTATTGGGGCGAGTTCTAGGATCAGATGCTGATCCTGTTTCCAGCAACACACCTGTCTATTTTTAAATGTTTTACTGTGTAATCATTGTTGTTGCAGATTATGAATCGATGCGCCATCTGTGTAATGTTACCAGACCACATCAAGTGAAGTAGTTTTATGACAAACAAAAGCTGCACATGACATAAAATATTTCACCAAAATGTGAGAGTGGATTAATCTGGGACCATATTAGCAGAGTTCAGAACATTTTTTTTTGTTCGTGAATATGATTTTGGCAAGGGAACCATTTGGGCTGAGACACATTCAGGCTCACATAAAACAATTAAATCTATAACACAAATCTTAATCTTGAAGTAAATGAAAATACAATTTCAGCAATTTCATTGCCAGCTGCTCCTCTTCTCATCGTGAGTGTAAAACACATACTGGAATCTGCCTTTTAATTTATCAGTCCATCATTATAGCCATACCCAATGAGCACCATCAGTAGTGAATCTTCCTTAATCATAAAGCAAAAAGTCTGAAAGGCTTTATGTACCAGAAGGTGTTGTTTTGTAAAGACAAAAATTTGTTTGGTCAGTTTTAAATCTGGTAACTTGTGTAGTTTCTTGCAACAGCCTATTTGGAGAGTATCTTTATTTAAAGAGTGTACTGTAGGTGGGGGTCAGACTTCTCAATAGGTCTCTTATCTAGTGCTTACTGTTTTGAATAGGCCTATCTTACCATTTGGTTGAGTGAAGTCAATCCCAAAAATACTCTGTTTGTTGTCTGTTTGAAGTGTGCATATTGAACTCTCTGACGTGCCATCAGCGTTGAACATAAAGTGTCATTGAGTCCTGTTCAGGAATTCCCAGCTTGTTTAAAGTCTGTGTTTTCGCTCACCCCTCTCTCTGTCATTTGCCCTAGGTGTTATAGATGCCGCAGCCTCCTGGGCCACAGACTGACGTAAGTGCTGAAATGACAGTTTAGATGCAGACATGGGGATGAGATGGTAGCAAAGAGGAGGATCATTACCCTTTATTAGAATTGCGTGGGAAACTCACACAGATTGGGACCACCATTCTTTTAACTAGTAAGGAGAAATAAGTTAAACGGTGTTACTATGTGCAGCGTATTTGAAGGTTTGGTTAGGAGGCAAGAATAGTATTTCACCTTACACTCAGCATAGTTTATAGTAAACGCATCCATAAACTATTAAAAAGAAAAGTTAATGAGAACTCTTAGAAGCAAAAGCATGAGACAGTAAATTGTTCTTCAAATATATAATCTTAGTTCAGTCATACAGATATATACATTGTATAATAAATAATATTTATAAAAACATAACATTTTCAGATGATAAAATAAAAAGGGAATTATTAACTTTAAAACTTTTTGTACAAAACTTTGGATATAGCGGGGGGAAAACAGAAAAGGAGTGCAGAAATGGCCAGTGATGGTGGGCTCCTCGCAGAATGGGGTGGATGCTAGGCTGGGACTTAGGGGACTGCGCTAATGTCTACCTTCTGCTTTTGTAGTTCAACTTAATTAATGGGATGTGCGTAGGACTGTTAGAACATGTATGGAGCCCTCTGCTTGTCTGTTGCACCACTGTGAAGCCCGTCTTTCCTAACCCTCAATATTTACCATCACACACAGTTGGGTCAGGACACCCACACCTCTTCCCCTTAGTCCAAAGAGCAGCTAAGAAAATCTTCTTCTCATCCTCCTTCTCTCTACTCTCATGTTCCTCCACTCAGTCACACTTGCTGATATTCACAAAGCTTCTCAGAGTAACAGTGCTGATCTAGGACTAGATTTCTCTCTTATGTACAGTGATTTTTCTGACACATCCCAGATCCTAAATCAGCACTACTTCTCTAAAAAAACCTTCCTGAATACGGCCCGTTGACTCTGTACCTCTTTTCTGTAAAGCCTTGCCTCTTTTCTATATAGCCTCTTCTTCTGTGTTTGCTTTAATACACATACACAAAAAAGAAAAAAAAAGGGGCACCCACGCCATCTGCGGATCAGGCTTAAATCCAGATTTTTTCCCCAAAATGTTTGTTTGAAAGATAAGATGGTTATAATTCCTAGCATTAGTGTTATTAGTCATTCATTTCTGTAAGTGCAAATATTACTGTGTGAGTGGATCCACCTGAGGTTCATGGGGGATTCTGTTTTGTTTACAATACTTGGGTTTGTTGTTGGTTTTACTTATACCTGGAAACACATTGGCTTTGTTTAGACAGGCAGTCATTTTTACACACTTGATCTGTTCCTTGATGTCTCATCATCATCATCATGATCATTATCTACAAAAAAAAGGACAACACATGATGGAAGATCAAGTTGAGCTCAGAGCCACAGTCATATGGATGCAGTCATTTCACTGAGTGATTCCATGCTGATAGCTTATCTAAACACAAATTCAAAGACAAGAACCAAATCAGAATTCAGCAATACTGACTGCTGTCCAAACGTGGCCTTCGGGTTCCAATTTTCACTTTTCTCCTGGAACATATAACAACATATAACATATAACATTTCTGTTGCATGTCCCTTCTGTGACATAGATGCGGTAGATGATGTCTAGAAGCAAGTCATGTTTTTTTTTTCCTCTCTTAACACTTTTTCTGCTTGTTGAACCATGAACACATTAACTGTGGTGGACGCAGCTGTAGGTGTGTGTGTGTGTTTGAGAGAGATCAGTGGCTGGTCAGCTGATGCATGTCGGCTGCTGTCACCTATTTCTGTGCATGCCTTTAGGCTTGAACCGTGCAGCAGATTTGAGAAATGCAGGGCTATAAAACAGGCATACTGTAGCTGGCAGGCAAAACGTGGCTAGCACAGCGGGATTGGGAAAATGGGGAAGCATGGGGATTGCGTCAGTTTCAGTAGTCTAGCAGGGCAGAAAGACCCAGCCTTCAGTTACACTGCAGGCTCAGAATGTTCAGTAGTTAAGTAGGAGTGCCTCCCTCAACCCCTCCTTCTCTCACCAGCCCCCTTCAGTTCTTTCATGTGTGCGTAGTGTGAGAGTGTGTAGGGCAGATTCAGTTTCAGCCGCTGGGCCTTGTGTAGAGATGATCAGAGAGCTAAGTGTGACAGGTAGAGTCTACATGATACCAGAAGACATTGAGGGTTTAGGTAATGCGTTATGCTTTTTCACACAATGTGGCTGTGTGACTTACAAACTGAAATAAATAAAAAAAAGGAATGCAAGTGGAATGATAACGGTCATCACACGATTATTATGTGATTCTTCCTCGGACCTTTGCTCCAGTAGAAAGGGGTTGGCAGTCATTGAAGGATGTTAAAAAGTTCCAGTACAGAAGTGCCACTACCTACTGTTTGTGTGTGCTGTGTTCGTCATGGTGATACTTATGAGCATGAGAGTGCGATGTGCAGGGGGTGCCTGCATTCTGAAGTCCTATGTCTCACCGTCCCTTTTTCACTCTCTCCATGTCCGCAGTCTCCCACCCCCCGCCACTTTCCCAAGCCTCATTTGCACGTGTGTACATCGTAGACTCGTACACACTCCTGGCAGCTGACATAGCAGCACCAATGGAAGATGCAGTGGCACTTCTCCTTGCGCTTCTCAGTTCGTGTGTTGTGGCCGCGGCCACAGCAGAGCAGGTCGCAGCCTTCAATACCATGGGAAGAGACATTGCAGACGCGATCGCGTGTGCCGAAGGAACCAGTCTCTGGGTTGGGCTCACAGAAGTTGGGTGAACCCTCGTAATACACCAGGTCTCGCTCGGTTGGGTGCTTGAAGAAGGCGTACTTCGCCCGCAGTGTCTCTACCCACCCACGTGACTCCCGGTGCTTCTCCACCACCATTTCAGATGCGCTGTCGTACTTGTCTTTCAGGTAGTCACCCAGCAGCCGGAAGTCAGGCTGTGCCCACCAGCACGTCTTCACCTCACAGCTGCCCGACAAGCCGTGGCATTTGCAGCGTAAGTGCATGTTCTCCAGGATGGTCTGGAGGGGAAAGAAGAGACACATGGGAAACTAGTACAACTAGTACAAACAGTACAGTACAATGTTCATTTTTCAGTTGAAAATGAGAGCTGTCAGGTTGAAAATGGTATGATCAATTATAATAGAAAATAAGTGAATGGCAGGTGTAAAAAACTGCATTACTGGAGTGGTTTGCCTCTACTTTACATGTAAGTATTTTCCTGCTTTAACCCCTTAAACTCTATGGACTTTGGGGGGAGTTTTTCACACTTTTTAGATAGTAGTAAATCACTGTCTATAATAATAATAAGAAGAGTGGTGATAAAGTTAAACAGAAATACAAGAAATGATTCATTTAGAATCATATAAGAAAATGACACAGATCAAATTAAAAGGTTTTGTACTTCAAGTTTGGCATATGAAGCTAACGAACCAAGTTCCTCATTAAGCAGCTTTCTGTTTTTTTGTATTAACGATCAGTATTTCTGTTTTCTCGTGATTTAATTGTAGAAAATTTTGTGACATCCACCGAGAAATAACTGACACCCAGCTGGTTAGTCTGTCTACAGAGTCTTGATGAACAGAAGGAATGGAAATATATAACAGTGTCATCAGCATAGCTATGAAAATTTATGTTTCCTAATAACATCACCTAGAGGGAACATGTACAAAGAGAAAAGCAAAGGCCCTAAAACTGAACCTTGAGGGACAAGAAATGCCAAATCTAAAAGGACAAGTGACAGAATTCCCTGCCCATAGATACTGAAATGATAGTTAACTAGCACAGCTTACCAACAGTTGTGATGCTCCTGTTGCTTAGCAACTGAGAGACACACAGCCATCATTTCCAAAAAATGCAGGGTGAACCCCCAAGAAAAGAAAAGATGTACGCCTACATTTTTCTGTCTACTGAAAACGTTTGAACCCTGTCTTTGTCGTTCCAGACATCTGTTCCTCAGGCTTTTAATTGCATAATCTACATATCAGTTGTAAAGTAGTTATATCACTTTTTTTAAGATTAACAAACCTACGGTTCAAGAGGTTAACTTACTTAATATAAAGATTCTAAAAATTTGCTAATGAGCTAAATCACAGTGGAGACTGATTTGGTATGGACTGATTGGAACTGAGCTGTGGAGTGCAAGGAAGCTGGCTGGAGGGCTTCTTACAACCAGATTTCAGAGAGAATGAACCTGTTTAAGTCTCCAACGCCAGACCATAAGGTCTTTCTGGAGCATGAGATATGTTGCCTTCACTATTCACTCTGGGTAGCATGACGTTTTGCCTCAATGTGTTAATTAATCATGGCATGTAATAGCTCAGGTCAAGATTTACATAGGATATGCTGCTTCTAGATCGGCACAGCTTCTGATTAGGGTTGGTTTAGTTTTGGTCAGGCCCTGTTTGATGGGCCCAGCAGGATACAGGTGTTGTGCAGCTGCCAGGCCCACAGACAGGCCTTTGCAGTGCTAATTCCTCTTCAGAAGTCCCGCTCATGCGAGTGCGCCGGTGGCACTCTGCGCCTTTGTTTTGGTTTGTTTGCCTTAATTCCCTGGCTATATTTAGCTGTAGAATTCCCCAGCTGCGGCGGAAGGCAGGTGTTTTTGTGGGCCCCTGGGGGGCCAGCCGGGGCCTCTGACATCATGTCCCGAATTCGTTGGGCTCACAGCACCTCTTGCAGCCTGCTGGGGAACAATAGAGCGTGAGAGGCAGGTGGGGCAGCCTGGGGTCCTGACAGGGCTGCCTGTCTCGGTGCCTGCCCCTGTGGTCTCTCCCTGCTCCTGTCGAGCACAGATCAAAGGGCCGGGCGTGTTGCAGTGTGGTCTCGCCAATTGCCCCTCAGCAGCCTCAGCACTAATAGACTCCAGCGCTGAGCTCTGACAGCGACAATGATGAGCGAAATCCCGAGCCTTTCCTCCCTCCCGCCCTCAAACCACTAACTGCGTTTACACCTCAGTCACGGAATTCAGCAGGGATGCGAGACATGTGAGGCATGAAAGGATCAGGGAGGTAATTACCCAGTAATTTCAAATAGAAATACTCATTTTTGGGGTTAAAAGGCTCTCAGAAAAGAGATCAGGCGATTCCTGACAGTTGATCTGTCATGCATTAACACCTTGAACTGTGGCCGAGACCCACCCAGGAACAATAAAAGCAGGGCATTGTTCATTGTTATAGGACTTTAGTACCTTTTTATTGTATTTTTTGGGCTAAAAACTGCTTTGAAATGTACGTCTAAATCTCATCTTATTTTATGTCAAGCAGTTCTCAGTTCTGGTCCTGCATATTTTAGTGTTTCCCCTGCTCTAATACACCCTCTTCAACTTAGGAAAGGCATGTTAATAGGCTGATTAGTTGTATTAGGTGTGTTGTAGCTGGAAAACACCAAAATAAGCATGGCAGGAGTTTCCCCAGAATTTATGCAGGGTGGTAGACCTTTTACACCTATTAGAGTTGTTCTGCTGATATAGTATTACATAGTGATTAGAAGGCCACAGTTAGTAAATTTAAATCAAAACAATTCATGTGTGACTTTTGAGTTTACTGTTCATTCTGGACCAAAGAGTAATTTGCATATATTTCTATGTAAATGTATATTAATAGTGCTAATAGTTCATTAAAACAACACTAAAATACTGATTTTACTGTCATGTCTGCAAGTAAACTAAAATAGATGTGCTTTTGATTATTAAGGCTCAAATAATTCTATACAAAGTTCATGCTTATTTCTGCAAACATTCAGCTTTTGCTAGTTTCCTTGTCAATAAGCTGGCATAGATGAAATACCATGATGAAATATTTTCCACTATTCAGGGTTACAACACCATATTTAAATAAAACTGTCCATGATATTTCAGTTGGCACTAAAACATTTTGAATCTGAAAGGATTTGAAATTCTGTGATTAAAGCCTACTGTGACTAGACACTAGAAGACTCGAGCTAAAGAGTTCGCTTCTGACGCACACTGCTATATGAATTATCAGATGCATACTGGATTTGAGATCTCTTAGTAAATGCATCTTTCCATTTGAAAATACAATAATAATTTTATTTTGGCTAAAATATTAGTGCATACCACATAAAAGCCAAATGCTAGGAAGCAAACATTAGCCTGTATGTGTCCTATCCAAGTCAGGTGGCGCATGAGTTTGGCCAAGTTTGGCCAAGTTTGGCTGTTCAGCCTATTTATGGGTGGGGAAACACAGGGTAATGCATGCTGTTTGAAAAGAATTTAATAGATTAATCAAATGCTCTGTTTTTTGAGCTTACCATTCGTCCAGCTTCATTATTGTGCCGGTTCATGGCTGAACGTGCATCTGGTCGGTTTTCTCTGGCGTCAGCAAACTCTCGAGACACCAAAACCCCAAACTCAGCATCTTCGCTACAGCCACCCCACTTCCAGCCTTCACCTGGTGGCCCTTTGTGGTGTGAATCACAACCACACATGGTGGAGGTGCCCTCTGCGCATGAGCGGGTCACTGCAAATGCTACCCCAGCTGAGGCAATTGCATGGACAAATGCAGACTCTCTAGTGGCTAGAAAGAGAGAGGAGGGAAAAAGACGAGGGTGCATTAGAAAGAATACCTTGTAACGTATTTCTAAAGAAGAAGACCATGTGCCATGACTTTATCTAGTAGGGTTATAGAAATTGAGACCGGTCTTAAGACAGCAGATTGACGGTCCTGATCTTGTTGCGGTTTTCAACATTATTCCTGTCGTGGTCTTGAGGTAAGGAGGACACATAATGTTTTTAGAGACCAGTTGAGTGGAAGGTCTCCTTTATAGTATTTTTTTTTTCCAAATCTGAAACTGCATCACTGGCTTGTTGCTTGCATTGCACTGTGGCCCTTTATACCAGCTGTGTATGGCAAGCACTGGAACAGTTTTTAGCTTTGAGTCAGTTTTTAGATGCTTCCTATAGAAACTTGCGCAATACTTTCCTACTGTGAGATTATTCATTTGTATGTTCAAGGAACCTGTGAAAAAAAACAAACAAAACCAGAAACACTATGTTCTGCCATGTCACATTTGGATTAAAATAAGCTTGTGTTAGCTTCGTTTGTACTGTTTAATATTTATTTTCAGCAATACACGTTATGCAGTAGGCAAAAATTTCTAGAATCTAAAGTTTCACTAATCTAACGGAACTATTTAGGCATGTTCCTTTTGAATTTATTTTTAATATTGAAGTATTAAATACCAAAAGTTTTGAATAAATCCTAGCCCACACACACACACACGCGCATTGCTATGTAGATTCATTTTGCTATACAGCAGCCTTAATATCAACAATACATTTAAACAGAACCAGTCTTTTCTGTACATGTTCAAAACAAAGGCTGCACTCTGATTGCCTAACTGCGAAAACTGCCCCTGGGCATACAGCAAGACTGCAGGGGCAGTGCGCTGCTCTTGAAAGTAATGTGTTTTATTTCATATAGCCTAATGTTAAGATTGAGAAGATTAAGCAGAAGGCACTGAAATATATTTGAACCTTGCCACCACTTTCCCACAAAATTTAAAATGCAAAGTTGGACCAATACTGGTAAATAGGCTAGGCTAAGCATATATCATTATTATGGTATCTGTCATGTATAATTAATGTAAAATGTTCTCGTTTTCTTTTTTGATTATTCTGGTCTGGCCTTGTCTTGGACCACTACAAAGTCTTGGTTTTGACTTTTTTACAGTTCTCAGTGCTGACTCTTACCTCTATTGGTCTCAACTACAACACTGGGATCTACCTCCAACTGTCCCTTTGACTACTTTCCAACAGCATGCCTTGATTTTTTTTGTCTTTGTCAAAGACAGTGCCGTGTCCCTGTGGCTGTGGATAATGCAGAGACATTCGGCCTGCTTTTCCATCTGAAGGCCTACTGAGAGTCTCCCATCAGACAGTATCTTAAGGGCATAGATTGTTTTCTGTGATGGGCTCTGAAATATTGATGGAACTCAGCGCCGTAAAGACATGGACCTCTTTGACTGGACAGGCTCAATTGTTGGACATGCCATTTGCGTCTAATGCTAGCTGGGGTTTCAGTGACACTATGTTATCTTAAAGGCGCGCTGCTTTCTGTCCATATAGTGTTTCAAGAATGCCCTCCCTGGTTTGAGCCCTGCGGCCACGTGTGTGAAAGCTAGCAATAAGCCTGCGTGTTTGCTTTCTGAAGGCATGTGCTGAGAGATGGTGTTACGCCTTCTTTGAATGCAACAGCTTATTATGTAACCAGACACCATTGTTTCACAATCGTAGCACACTTACTTGTGGCTCGTTCAGTTTTTCTTTGGACCCTCTTCCCCTTTCCCTAAAGGCCCAGAGGAGAAACCTTGCTGCTGCTGCTGAATCTACACATAGACGTTGCAACCCAGCCAGGCTCTCCCTACTGATGCCTGATCACACATGCACACGCATCACATCCAGACACTCTTCCCAAATACAACAGACATTCCAACACCACCCACCCACCCGCACACACACACACACTCACACACTCGCACACTCACTTCGACCTCCCATCCCGAGAACATCTGCACTTCTCTTAAGGGTTCCCAGATCTCAGCCTGGTTTCTCAAGTCTTAGAAAGGCTTGAATGCTGTACGGTTTGCCGTATGTGAGCCAGCGTGCACAAAATGCACTGGGAGGAAAGCAATGCACACACATATGAGTGTTCCAGCACTTTTGTGAGAGGGGAATTTTTCAGTACAACAAACACGTGTTGCAGCATTTAAGTGTTTACTACACCCTGCTTCTCTCGTACATTCCTGACCTGTGTGTACCGTCAGTCTCCAAGGTAGTGTGAGAGAGAAAAGGTGAGTGGAGATGGCCCTCACTGACCAGGCTGGGAGTGTGACTCATGATGTTGTCAGGTGATTTTCCCATGATGCTATCTTGCTGTCACGCAAGGGTTTAGGTCAGCCTTTACAGCTGACTCATTCATTTCACAATTTAAATCACATTTATTTTTTACAAACCTGCATAATAAGATATGGGTGGAGCCTTCTTCAAATTAGCATGATGCTGTGTATTTGCTGAACGTGCTAAATGTCTTTTGTTTTGTGTTTTTATGTTGTATTGTTATGAAGCCTATGCACACACACACACACACGCACACACACACACACACACTGCTCTTTTCTCCTGATGTTTGTGTGTTTGGGCACACACCTCTCAGGGTGGGAGGCCAGAATGAGGCCCAGTTGGTTCTGGCAGGCCCAGCTGGGTTGACTACAACAGAGTGCTGTGAGCTGAGGGCCCCAGGAGCTCTGGCCCCGAGCCAAACGGAGCGCTGCTCCCGCTACCTGCTGGGCCCATGAATCCGCCTTTGTCTCCCTGGTGTCACACTGTATTACCCACACAAAAGGGCCCAGCACCCCCACACCCCCACAGCCCAGCTTAGCTTTGCCCAGAGCCGGCCTGGCATTCCCAACAGGAGCAGCCCCCCCGCCCCCCCACGGCGACATGCACACACCAACCATGAACCCTGAAGCCTTCCTTTTTCCTTCTTGCCCCAGTTGGATTGTTTCTTAAATAAACCCTCAAATTAATAAACGTCTGTCTCTAACATTTTCGTAAAACCACTGCCTTCCCAGTGTCTTTCCTTTCTCTCTCTGTCCTTCTCAGTGCCTGACCTCTCCCCCTCCTCGTTCACCATGGCCAACCTCCCTCTGCCCATCACTGCGACCCCCCCCACCTCTCTCCCTCCGTGATGGGGAAGGATGGGAGATTCCCTTTCAGCCCGTTTTCATGACACAGTCAAAAGGGCGTGTGAATGGGGCGTTCGTGGGAGCCGGGCTGTAAGAGGCACACAGAGATGGCTCATGCTGGCCTTCACGCACAGTAGGGGTTGAGCGGAACCCCCCACCACCTCCCCACCCCAGCCCTTTTCTATTGCTTGTAATCTCATTTGGCCTCAACTCTCTCTTTCTCTCATTCATTCAGACACTCACTGCCTGGCTCCCTCCTGATACATAGGCTAACACTACTGCTGATCAGAGGGTTGCACATCTTCACCCTCAGGGACTGCAAGAGAGAGATAGGCCACCTCAGCTCTCTATCTCTCAGCACTGTGTATGCCGTTTTAGGTTCCCCATTGTTTTTCCTTTTGTCTTTTGTTTAAGAAGTGCAGTGGTAAATGAACTAATTATATTGCCTTTCACAGTATTAGTATTAAACAGTGGTTATAGAGTGTCAACATATATCCGGAGAATTTTCAGTGACACCAAATGATGGCGCACGTACAGAGTAAGCTCTTAATTACTTCATTTCTGAAGTGAGATTCTGAGATTATTTACAAGATTTCTATTATTTATGGTATAGGTAATGCCTTTTTCTACATAATTTAGGCATACAATATGTATGTAATCATCTGTTTAAAAATCACAGAAGTGAATAATTACTGCATATGTAAATGCTCTGCAAGAGTAAGAAGTGTTTTGATGAGATTGCTGCCAGCACTTTTCACCAAGGGCACCACCCACTCTGAAACTTGTCTAAACCCTCAGTAGCTGCTTTATTAGTGCCGTATCACTAGTGAATGATCATTCTGTATCATCTGTGCCTCATTCCAATCACACAGCCCCAAACTGTGTGTATTTTCTACACTAAATGTAACTTGACAACTACTTGCATATTTTCTGCATCAGAAACTCTGTACCTTTGCTGTAGTGTTCCACAACATAAAATCCACAGATAGACAACAGACATTCTGATTCCAATGCTTTTACCTTTGTCTAGAACAGGGCCGAAGATGGCCAGGTTGTCCTTTATGGTGGTGCAGTTCCATCTACGGCCACGGAACTGATGCTGGCACTCTTGGATGCCCAGTTTGACGCCCTCGGCCACGCTGGGCATGATCTCGATGTAGTTGCGGCAGAAGCGCAGCTGCTTGGGCACCAGGCCAGGGATGGAGCCACACAGGATGGGCTGGGAGCCCAGGGATGAGTACTGCTGCCCCAGAGCTAGGGACCTGCAATAGGTAATGGGGGCACATGCATTAGATCCATCCTGCAACCCTTCTTGAGTGCACGTACTAACTGTGTACCTCTTAAAATAGGGTGCCTGATGATGTATGGAGTAGGATTGTGACTAAATTGTATTTTTATCATTAATGCGAAACTCTTTCTGGATTTTGGAGATACATATTGTTAAGGGATGCAATAACAAATGAAAAATGTGCAGAGTGAAAGGACTGAGATTTAGTGAAGGCATGTAAAGGATGAAATAGTACAACTGTTAGAGGACACTGTGTAATTAGGGCTAAAATTTGCAGTTTCTGCAAATGAAAAATATTGGACTGTTCCTCTAAATAACAAAGATGCCTCTACAGATACTCCCTGTTTAAAAAGAGAAGCAAGATTAATTCAGTTTAATAGCTTTTGTGTTCCTCACAGACTGAGACACCATGGTCAGAGTTAGACTCCATTAATCCAGAAAAAACAGCATGGCTATCTTACATACAGCTGTGTTCCTATGTTGATATTAGAGCACAGTTTCATCCAAAGATGTTAATTTGAAGTCATTGACTGAAATATTTTCATTCTAAGCCATCTTTTTTATCAGCTTGTATTTAACTCAGCCTCACTTTAACTCAACTTTCACTGAGGTAACTTAACATAAGTCAGCCGTTTGCTCACTTCCCTCCATTGCCTTATGGTGTGTGCGATTTTGTGTGCGAATGTGAGTGTGTGCAGCAGCTGAGTGATAGCTGACAAAAGGCATTCCTGGGAGCAAGCGCTGCTCCAAACGGAGGGCTGACATCTGCCTAAACACGGCCTCTGTACCACCACACCAAAACAGGCATGCCAGAAACCATTACGCTTTCATTCACATAATTCATTTTAATTGCCTTATTTTTTGCCCCTATGTTAGGACAAAGAAGAAAAGAAACCCTATGACATTTGCCATACCTGTGTTTTTACATGCTTGCTGTTATGACAGGCTCAAACACAACTGCACTCCCACCCTCTTGACAGCGCTGCTGCTTTTGCCATGAAATGTGTGTGAGACATTTTTTTTTGTTTTGACTGTTTATTCATGTATGCTAAACACATTTTCACACCCCTCTCATTCCTCTCTCTCTCAAAAGTGTTATCAGTTGTATACTCAGTGCTGTAAATTGTATATGAATAGGGAAGAAAAGTTGGAAAAGGCTTGGCACTAAAGTAAAAGAATCTATCATGAATTTCACCTCGTTCCATCCTCATTCCATCTAAATTCAAACTCTTGGCAGCAACACATGAGCCTAAGGTCACCATGCCCAATTCCAGCCAAGCCTCAGCTAGAGGGGTATAAAGCACCCCAGCATTGGGCTATGTAGCAGTGGAACTTCGTTGTCTGGAGTGATACAGCACCATCAGTGATCCTGAGCAAACCATCCAACAGTAGAGTAGAAGCTGTTACTTTGGCAAATGTGGAAAATACTCTTGATTTTGGAACAAATATTGGATAATCAAATATTTTGTTACTTATATATAGTGTAACTTTTGGACATGTAGTCTACCTACCTACCTGCCTGCTTGCTTGCCTGCTGACCTACCTACCTACCTATTCATGTATTGTTGTGTATTATGTATTGTTGCTGTGGATCGTTTCAGGTAGCATACTAGTGCATGTCTATATGTGCATCTGAGCCGGACCCTGGGCCTCTCAGTGGTGACGCTAAAAGTCAGTATCACTGTACTCTCAGCCACAGCATACAGACCCTGTTTGGGACCTGAGGGGTCTCCCAGTGCCCCCTGTGGCCCTCTGCAGGATCAGGAGTAAACAACCCCACTGATCAGAGAGCACTCACTCAGCATGACCTCATGCCCCCGCAGGGCGCAACCCTATCGCCAGCACCAAGCCTACTGACAGCACCACTGCAGTCGGCCCACACAAAGGCCTTGCCATTGAAGTCAGGAGAGAAGAATCCACCTCAGAGGCATCTCTACTTCTTCCCCCTCCCCCTTTCCTCACTCACTCCATCCATCCATGTACTTGTCCCCGTGTTTGATGTCGCAGAGCTGAGCATTGTCAATACCCTACCATCTATCAGAGAGTGAGCAAGAGAGAGAGAGAGAGAAAGGGGAGTGAGGCTTTGTGGAGTCTTGACTGCAGCTTTCACTGAACAAAGCTTTGATACCTGAGACTTGCGTCAGCTGGGTGTGCCGCCACCTCATCCACTCCTGCAGTGGGCCAGTATAATTGTGTATTTGGTACGCGTGTGAAAGAGAGAAACAGAGAGAGTTGAGACTTTGTGCAGATAACCCACCAGTGGGCCCAGACTTCCATCCATCACTCTCGTAACTACTTATGTTTCATATTAGCTTTGTTGTAGTTACCAAATAATTCGTAGTAGTTACTCATTAAGAAACCTGTAATTTAATGGGTTAAACTCTTTTTTTCAGCCAAATGCGTTTTAGTGCCTTTAGTTTTCCAAAAAGTGACCCCTTCACTCATATTTAAAGGATTTTAATTCCTCTGTTTAATCGCATGCTGTATTTATCAGTTATCCATAATCATTTTCTTGGAGCTATTACTTAAGCCCATACAAGTGCCAGATGAGCCCCTGCAGTGGTGCTTACTGGAAGCAGAGCTCCCTCACCCTCTGTGTTTGCTGACTGAGTGAGTAAGTGGCATAATTACACAGTCTGCTAACTGTGTAACTGTCCATTAATCTCTCACCCATATGCATGACTGCTGTGTATGTGTGCGTGCTGAGCTGAGCTGTGGATGCAGTGTGAAGTAAAAAACAAAGGTTAAATGATGCCAGATAGATAACATAGTTACCAAATTAAACTCATTTTGTTTTGCACTGTATTTTTCCCTTGTTTATTTGTGTAGACTGGTGAAGTAAAATTTTGTAATGTGTGGCGTGTATCTTTTGGCATAATAACAGCTGATATTTGGATCAAGCTTGAACTAATGGTTTAGGCAAAGGCATGTGCATGCATCTGAGAGAGTCAATTACCAAACCGCACAATGCTTTTGTGTGGACAGGAGCGTGTTTGAACTGCGCACATTGTGTGCGTGCTGTGTTTTGTTTGGGAGTGACGCGCACCACTGATCCTGAAGTGGAGGCGAACGGGGCGTCCTGTTTGTGGGCGCACTGCGTATGAATTGCAGAATTTCTTCAAGGGAAACGCCTGTCGATGTGTGTGGGATGCTGTCTCCGATACACACTGACTGACAGACGTATACAGGTATACACTGGTATACATTGGAGGTGTAGGCCTAGTATACGTGATACACAGGTATATACTCTATGGCTGCACTTCAAGAAACCACTAGAATTTGTGTATATTCACTGAAAAATGTACAATAATACCTAAAAGAGATTTACATATTTGGCTGTTATTACCATTGAATGTGAACAAAAAGTAATTGATTATGTTGTAACACAATTCTGAACTGCCATGGAAATAAAATTCTGCCTCACTATTCATCAGGGTGGCTGGCAAATTGAAAATGAAAAAAGTTGTTTCTTTTTTTTTTGCATTACACTGGCATTACAATAAAGTAATGGCAGGAATGCCTAATAAGAAAAAAAAGTTTAGCTGTTGCCAGCCCAGTTGCCTGTGGCAGAAAAAGGTCAGCACACCTTTATGGTCTAGTCCAAGGCTGTCCGAATTTGGCCCATTTTGGGAAATTTGATTTAGCCCACTAGAGGGTCACCCTAACCCCACTGCTTCATGCAGTAAAATATATTTTAAACTATATTTAACTTTATTAAATTCTTATTTACCTCAAAACTTTACAAAATATAGTGTAATGTTATAAAATACATTTTTAAAAACCTACCTAATTTCTTAATTTGTACATTATTTTGTCTTTTTGACCCCCGATTCACCACAAACATTGGATTTTTTGCCCCTAAGACAAAAGTTTGGGTACCTAATTTTTGTAGTTAGGCAGACATTTTTAAAGTAACACAGGTATACATTTTTAGTCATTATGTGCGCTCCGTTGGAATCAAACCTTTGATTTTGATGTTGTTGGTCATACTGTACCTGTTGAGCAATAGGACCACTATTACAAACTACATTGCACCACTGGTTACACACACATGCTCTCCTGAAACGGTTCAGCATAGATGATGAGGGGCAGCAGGCCTTGACCAAGCAAGAAAAACATTTACTGGATCAGCGCTGATTTGGGGTATCCGCCTCAATGAGGAGGGGCTGAAAAGCTGTAAGGTCTAACAGGTGCTTGTCTGAGCAGGTCAGAGGGCCACCTCCAGCCTGCAGGCTTTGCCACCCTCTCTTTCCCTCTGTCTCTCTCTCCCTCACTGTCTTGCTCTCACACATCTGTGCCTCTCTCTCCTTTCCCTCTTCTCTGTTACAGTTCCTGGTGCTGGGTGGGTGGCAGTTTTAGTGCTGTAAGAGAAAAATAATGACGCAGACTCATGGGCCATCGCAAACCACAGAAATGAAGTATATGAAGAGAGGGGATTCCTCTGTACACAAAACAGATCAGGGTGTCCACGCCAAAACAATCAGCTCAGGATTAAGGCAAGTCCTGGCTCTCATAGAAAGACATAACACGTAATTCCCCAAAAGTGCTCAGCGTTCATTCATTCATTCAGAGAGGAAGAGTAACACTTTCCCCTTAGCTTTTAAAAAGACAATTAATTATGCATCCTTATTTGGAGGGAGTGTATAGTGTCTTGTGTTAAAGTATTTAACGCCTGTAATCAACTCCTTATGTTCATATAACCCAAACGTTTGACAGGGGTTTTTACATTTATCATTTCATCCCAAATTTACATTTATAATGTAATTTTTTAGGTCAGTGAGTTATGTTCAGGTCAGCTGGCTAACATAAACCGTCCCTCGCTTTGCTGTGTTCACTCATTCCTGCTGAATAAAGGAGTGTGTGTGAGAGGGCTATTTAACTCTGTGTCAGGAGAATTCAGAGGCTCTTTGAACTTGTGGATTGGATTTATGACATTTGACCCTTGCAGCTCTCAAAAAGGATGCCTTGTTAAAG